CTCCAGAACAATATCCCCATTTCCGCCGAACTCTCCTTACGTTATTGGCATTCACACGACAACATCCATCACTACACTACTATTCAACTTACCTCCCATGACACATACGACCAAGCCTGGATCCAAGAGCACCATTACATCGCAAACTGGATGCCTACCCTCAACTGGCCGTTTATTTCCCACCATCTCAAGCTCAAAGCTCAAGGCTGGCAGTTCACCAAACACAGAGCCCATTTCTACTCCAGATTAGCCACCCACAAACGACTCTTCCGACGCCTCAGGCAACGCCAATACACGCTCCGAGAACCACACCTTTACACCTCCACCAAGCATCACGCCCTCCACCTTCTCCGCAACCTCACCAAACACACAGCAGCCTCTTTTGAAGCTGCCAAAGAGCTACGAAGCGGCCGCCACACGGACCTTGAAGTCTATGCCATCCGGCGCATGGCCGCGAACCTGGAAGAACCCGGCCGTAGCAGAGCTCTCCACATCCTCAACAAAGCCCTAATCTACCGCAACCTCACACCGCCAAAACCAAACATTCCATTGACAGTGCCCTTCTTGGCCCATGACGACTTCACTAAGCACTGCCAGCAGTGGCTTCGTATTACCATCCAGCAGCACAAGCATTTCACCATCCCCCTCCACCTCCCCTCCCACAGACTGAGAGAAGCCGCACACAAAACCCTCCGTTCCCACCTGCATAACCACCGCACATGGGAGGACACCCTCCACTCCCCGCCAGATCCGGCAGACCTCCCCTGCGCATGCGATCACCTTCGCACCCTCTTGCAGGATCCCGATACCCCCACCATCCACGGCCACTACATCCTTACACTTGACCAACTCCAACTCCCTACACATCTCGGCATTTTTCTCAACGCCAACATGAACAGCACCTATACTACCCAAGCAAGGCCCGATACTTCATCATGTTCAAGACGGCCTACACAAAATGGCTCAAACTACAAGGGCTTCCGCCATCCCTCGTTCAGCACTTGCAGCCTTTCCTTGAGCACCAATGGCGCCTCCACAACACACACCTCAAGCAGCAACCCCGTTTTACGGCTCGCCTCCTTCGCCAACTCCAAGAACATCTTGGCCAACACACGTTACTTCACCATGCCGACCATGAGCTCCAACAACTCCGGCTGTTTTGCCCTCGCCAATATTTCACTGGCGCCTTGAATACATGGCAATCCCCTGAACTTTTCGAACCACTTCCCCACATCACTGCCGCCAATATCCACGATCACTTGGCCGCCACTGTCCCCCCCATTTTACGCACTCGCTACAAGTGGGGTTTTCGAAAAGACTTCAACATTCCATACGGCGTTGTCCACCTCAAGGAGAAGAAGCACTGGCAAAAAGGCCGTACAATTATCTCATACTTCCAATCACTCAGTGGCAACCTGCTTCGCATTACCAGCCGTGCCCTTGACATCATCCTCCAACACCTTTACCCTCAGCATCCCGGCCAAATGTCCATTCCCCAACTTTGGCACCATTTTCACAGCTACCTCACCCAAACCCCACCAGACATCTCACTACACGCCACCAACGATGACCTGGTCGGCTTCTTCAACTCAGTCCCACAGCACCGACTCATCGATGCGGTTCACTCCCTCGTCCACCACTGGCAACAACAGCAACCAACACACACCCTGACGGTGGACGTCCAGGCCACCGGCAATCCTTTCCACCACTCCCACATTGGCAGGCACCATCACAAACACCCTACCCAACGTACCATCCAGACTTCCGACATTACCACCATCGTGGCTTTTGCCCTCAACACATGCATTTTCCGGGCTTGCAACAATACTTACAAACAAATCCGCGGGGCCGGGATTGGATCCCAGCTCTCTCCAGCCCTATGCAATGTTGCCATCACCCTCATTGAGCATTCATGGCATCAAATCCACAACAACCTCCTTCAACACACAGACCTCCACTTTACTTACTATCGATATGTCGACAACCGCTTCATTGTCCACAACGAACATTTCCTCCAACACCCGGCCATCCAAACCCTCATCCACCACAATTTCTTTGGCGACCCAGTGGAACTCGAACCGGTGGAGGATTTTCATCTCCTCGGCTTCAACATCGACCTCCCACAACGCACCATCACCTACATGCAACCTTCCCAACCCTGGAAAATCAGGGATTCCACAACCGCCGGGAGCCAGCGCTTGGCTCTATCAGGCCTCCAATCACGACTTCACACCATTCGCAAATACACATTCCCACCCTCCAGCGCTGAAGCTGCTGCGGCTGAGCTCGTGAGGCTCTATGTCCAAAAAGGACACAACCATCACGCCTGCCACCGGTTTTTGAAAAAGCGCCGAATGCGGCGACCTGTGTGTGTCCACCCCTGGACCAAGGGTTTTTCAACACCACTTCTCACAGGCAGGGGCGTGTGGCCTTCTTGTCCTACCACACGCAATGAAGCTGTGGACAAGAAGGGGAAGCAGGGACTGATCATCCCTGTGTACCTGCTCGTTTCTCCACAAGCTGTTACTCCAATTTTCCATTTTTTGATTCATGGGCGTTTGCATGATACTTCCCACAAACCTATTCGTCCCCAGCAGCTGCGCCGCCGATTTGATTGCTGCCGCCTTTGTGACAACAATGTTAAACCTTTCAAGTGCTCGGACCCATGCACCTTTCTGTTCTCTCGCCTTCCTTCCCAACGTGACTTGCGTTAACTGAAAACCAGTGTCAGAGTGTGTGTTGCATCATTGCATCCTTCTCGCGTTCGTTGGTTTTCACACTCCCTGGAATTTTTGATGGAAGTGAGTGTAAAACCACCACCCACCACCACCATCACCACCACTACCTGTTTAGTCTTGAGATATTCATGGATTTTCATAGTCATCCGAACTGGGGGCCATTGTCCCATCCATGTAATCATAATTCATATTGATTCATTCAGGGGTTTTTCCCCACCTGTCAGGTGAGGGTGGTTAGATTTTACGTCAGCCCCATCTCCTCCTCCTCCTCCGCCTCCGCCTCCTCCGCCGCCTCGTCCTCCTCCGCCTCCTCCGCCGGACCTCAATCAACCGCGACCATCCACGCCCAGTGTTCCCTACCGGACCTCAACCGCGAGCTCCACACCCAAGTGTTCCCCACCGGACCTCAACCGCGACCATCCACGCCCAGTGTTCCCTGCCGAACCTCAACTGCGAGCTCCAGACCCAAGTGTTCCCTGCCGGACCTCAACCGCGACCATCCACGCCCAGTGTTCCCTGCCGGACCTCAACCGCGAGCTCCAGACCCAAGTGTTCCCTGCCGGACCTCAACCGCGACCATCCACGCCCAGTGTTCCCTGCCGGACCTCAACTGCGAGCTCCAGACCCAAGTGTTCCCTGCCGGACCTCAACCTCAGCACACAACCACAACCTCAATCACAAACACAATCACAAACACGCAGCCACAAACACAATCACAATCACGCATCCACAAACACAATCACAAACACACAGCCACAAGCACAACCACAAATACGGTCACAAACGCAACCACAAGCACACAACCACAAACACAATCACAAACACAACCACAAACACACAATCACAAACACACAATCACAAACACACAACCACAAACACTTCAAACACCCAACCACAAACACCATCACAAACACACAACCACAAACACAACCACGGCGACAATCACAAACATGCAATGACAAGCACACAACCACAAACACAACCACAGCCACAACGACAAAGACGCAACCGCAAGCACAACCACAAACACAATCACAAACGCAACCACAAACACACAACGACAAACACAATCACAAACACACAACCACAAACATGTAATCACAAGCACACAACCACCAACACAACCACAACACACAATCACAAACACACAACCACAACGCACACCGGAGGACCCAAGCAAAATCAAGAACCGCAAAACTCACCATAATTTGGGAGCAATCAGCTCGAAGATATGCCAGAGTGACTGGAGTCAGGTGCATTTCCATATCTGTTGGCGCAGCTGTTTGCAAAGAGGCTTGGGACAGGCAACACCCTACAGCAAGTATAATTTATAGTACATATTGCTGGAAATACGGTGGTCAGTATACACAGTTAAGAGTAACCGGAAGCATGTCCACCTCTGTTCTTGCAGCTGTGTGCAAAGATGCTTGAGACAAACAACATCCTACAGCATGTATGTTACATATAGCTGGTATGATGGCATGCTGGTATGTTTATGCAAAAACGTTTGACAGGCGGTGTGCTGACATGTTTGGGCATGTTTGTTTGTTCGCCAATATTTTGAAAGCTCTTGAGTTTGGATCAGGTGGCCCACTGGCCTGTTTGCCTCCTGTTTTACTCAAACAGCTTTGACATCAGTCCTGTTTATTCAAAAATGTTTGACAGGCGGCGTACTGACATGTTTTGGCATGTTTGTTTTCGCACTATCACTATGATCACTGCCATGTTTATAGCCTGCTTTTGCACAAGCACCAGATAGACAGCTTCTTCAGATGTTTTTGTCAACCTCAGCCGACAACCGCTGCAGGTGAACTGGTCTGAGTTGTATTATCAGTTGGGCACAGGTCTCCTGATGAAAGCATTCAAGCAGTAAGACTTGGTGCTGAAGGACTTGTGCTATGGGCTGAAATACACGACGAGGGTGATGTCAACGTGGCTGTTTTGAAATGTCATGGTGGGGGTCACTCGAAGGAAAGTAATTTCAGATGCTTTCAACTTAGCAGACCTCCAGACTTTTCTGAGAAGACCTCTTTAAAAGACTTGACATGTGGCAAAGCCGCTTGGCTGCCGGAACGTATTGTATGCGGAGGGCCCCTTGATGCCCATATCTTCATGCATATGTTCCAAAAGTGATTTCCAAGTTCCAAGTGGATGCTCATTCTTTGCTCCTCTACAACATTCGGGCTGCTTGAAAGTTCATTTACGATGTTTGTTCGCAGCCAGCGCCGCCCAGCCAGCATCGCACGCCCGGGCGCTGGCGAGGAATTCTTGGACGGGTGCTTGCGCCTCAAGGGCTTTGCACGAAGTATCGACGTCCACTTCATCATGGCCCCTGGGCCTACAGCTCAAAAAACGCCTTTGTATGCACTTGTGCATTCCTGTTTTGGACTGCGCAGGTCACCGGAGAGGTTCCGGCAGGTATTTGAAGACGGTTTTTGAATGTTTTTGACGACCAAAATGACTAGCAAGGAACTTTTTCATGCGACGAAGCAAGGTTCTTCAGCAGACCAGTCCCTGTGATCGAAATCTGAATCTTTCTGCGCGCGCCGAAATTGGGGACGGCTCAGGTTTTGATTCATCGATTGCAGAAGCAGCTGCTTTCCAGTCACGTGGAGGGTCGGCCAAAAGGAGCGCCGAAGACGAGCTTTTTGGATCGGAAGAAGCTGTCGCACTTCAATCCAAAGGTGGCCGAAACATAGAAATCGGATGGGTGTGGGCGGTGTGGGTCTGCGGTCTGGAAATGTCTTGTGACACCATGTGAAATTCATTTGGTGATTTTCATACAGTTTTTTGTGCACTTGGGTTGTTGTCTCACTGGCCCACAGCCCTGCGGCGAAATTCGGTGAATCGGGTGACGCGTTCGACGCGCCCCGCAGCTGCTTTTTGACACATGTGGTGCCCTGGCAGACCTGGACTGACAACAGGTATAGCTGAACCTGCACCGAGGATGACGGCCGCGGTCTAAACATTTTGGGTGGAGGTCAACACCCAAACGTAGGGGATCAGTGAACATCCCAGTGGGCCAATTCTCCTTGCCCTGTGCGGTACTAGGAGGTGCGTGCTAAGGATTCATGTCGTGCAGTCAGTTTCAGTTTCACACAGAAGGACCATGTTGGCCCAAGTCGCCCAGGCACCGGTGGAGCATTGCCAAGCAATGCAGCACCAAGCTGGTTGCTAATGTTCATCGGGGGCTCCCATCCGCCATCGTCAACTGGCTTTGGGACGATGCTCCATAGGTTCCATATGGTTCCATGCTGCATGTTGGCCCATGTTGGCCGCAAGCACGCAATGTGCCACAGTACTCGTAGGATCATATTAATTACAGTATATGGATGTTGCATCCGTGGTGGCTCTCCGCATGTTAAGCACGGTGCGTTTAAGTTAAAAAACTTGATTCGATATTTCTTTGGCATTTTGAAGACAACGAGCTAATGAGACAACCATATTTAGACATGTAAAGGTTTTCAGACGTTTTTGACCCAGTCAGCCTTCTTCTGGCATCCGAAGCAGATCGGCCATGGTGGGATGGGGGTGACCCCCCAAAACATGCGCGTGGCCCAGCCAGAAGCGTAACGCGTCATATGAGTCTTTGGCAAGGGTGGACATCGAGGGTTAAATGTGCCTTTTCTCGCGAACGGTGGGCGACTACGATGATTTGGTGGGCAACTAGCCGAGTTCGCATTCTTGGACGATCCACACAATTTTAGCAACACAGACAAAAACAGTATAACACAATGTTTAATTATAAAATATTATAAACATCAATATCAGTTTTCTTCGACGGTGGAGTGATTCGGCATGATTTGTGATCCTGTTTGGTTACTGTCATGCCAACTGTCAATACTATTCAAAAGATGAAGATGATGGTTTTACCATCCACGAGAAGTTTGTTTCACACACGACAACTTTCCGCAGCGACTTGCCGAAGCCCCGGAACAGTTGGCCCTTGGCCTTCCAAATGCACTTGATTGAGAGCCAAAAACCATGTTCTCCAAAGATGAGGGGATGGTTTTGCGCTGCCACAGCAACAAGCGTCACTAAGAGTTATATAATTGATTGCAATGTTCTAAGCCTCCAACTTCTGAATGGTCCTCGGGGGCCGCGAGAGGGGGCAGCTTTGTGCTCCGGGTTCCCCAGAAGGCTGAGCATGTCCAAAGCTCAGCAGTGGTTCTCAGGCCGAGCCCTTCGGCCGAGACTTCAAGCTCAACAGATCTGAACAGCTTCGGCTTGAAGTCTCTTCTTCTGAAGAAATGTCGCTGTTCAGATCTGTTGAGTAGGAGAAAGCCTGGCCGAAACATACGCAAACAGCATGCAGGCGCCGATGAGATGCGTCGTGCTGGAAAAAGGGTCGTCGGGTGCGCTTGGGTACAAGTCCGATCGCAGATCTAATAAGCAGCCGATAGTGATGGCTTCTCATTGGATGTGTTGCTGAATCCCAAGCCAAGTGCTTCAACCGGTGGTTCTTGCATCAGACAAGCAAGACCCCCGTTCATGGACCCTTCTCGACTCATCAACACTGCACCAGCCGCCAATTGATGATTCCAATATGTTGAGAGAACCAGCCGCGAATCCATGTTTTCTCCTTTTTCGCTGCCAGCCCTCAGTTCACTGAAATGGCCACTTCTAAGAGGGTGCATTTGGAAAGATGAAGATCTCACTGCGAGACGAACACACTTGTTGAGCACACCTCAGCAGTCCACTTGGAGGTTCATCCCCATTGAGTTGGTACCCGTACCCTCCATCTCATGTTTCATAGCATGGCCTTCCATTCCATTTGAAGGTGGTGGTGTTCCACTTCCCTGCGCGGGTCCTGACTGTGGTTCCCACCGCTGTCTTTGGTTGTCCCTCAAGCCTTGAGCCTTTTCGCCTCACCCTGGGCATGTGGGCCTTTTAGCCACCAATTTGTGAACGCGTCCGTTGCCCCAAGGTTCAGCATCAACATTGCTGAGAACTGAGTTGGTGAGTGCTTTATGCGCCATTGATTAGAGAAGGATTTGACAAGAGCCACAAAGTGGCACGTTGATTTTGTCATTGCTTTGCGAACAGCTTTGATATTTGAACTTTGCAGTGACGACGCGAAAACATGAGATGCATTTGCTTAGCATGGATTTAACCCTAGCCTTGATGACTGTATATATCAATCAGTTGACTGTAGATCATCCATTTGTGGTCCCATGATGTGTCCCAAAGATGGTTTATATAGTCTAGGTTTCTTAAGTATTGCTTTCTAGCCCGCAGCAGCAGCACTGTCGTGCATACCTGTTGGGCCTGTAACAAGACCAACATCCTAACAGCTGCTACTTGGAGCTCTTTGGAGCAAGCCCGGCCAGCGATGTAGCAAGGAATGGTGCGTAATTTGAGCATGTAGCAGCACAAAAACAACCTGCTATTCGATCGCTTTCCCTAATTTGGCAGCACAGAGAGGGTTAGAAATGGCATCACCACACAATAAGAATAAAATATAGAAAAAGAGCATGCCAAACCGATCATCGGCCAAGTGATCGTGATGATGGGGTCAGATTAGATGTCCCAGTGCCACGTTTTTCTTAGAAGCCGCATGTGTTATAAGCCCATGTGCCTACTTTGATGCCATGTGGGGCGCAGGCGGGACAACCACTGCGCTTGCTTCGATTCACTCCTGATGTGTTTGTCTCACCATTTTCTAATGCCAAGTCATTCAAATTTTTGTCCCACACACTAGGCCCCCCAAGATCCAGTCCCTGGTCAAGTGCTGGAGATTCGCATGATTCTACACGGGTTCTTTGTGAAAATTTGAAGATTTCGACGTCATAGCCCAGATTTCGGCCAAGATTTCAGTGTGTCATCCCCGAGGATCATGGCCCCGTTCAGAAACTCAGGCTTGGGCAGCTTGGACTTGCGTGCATTTTGCTGCACCATAAATATATATATATATTTGTTTATACCGCATATATATATATAATTAATGTTGCGTTTCGTCAAGTCACACAAGGGAAGTATTGGCACGACATGGCGTGACACATTCGTAGGGCGCGGCCCAGCACGAAGCACAAAAACTCCAACTGAGAGTCATGTCATAGAGTCATAGGATGTCTACTTCCAACAAATCCAGAAACTGATGGGTTTCTGATGGGTCAAACATTTGCTCCTGATATCTTTTGAGTGACACCCCTTCCCATTTGCAGGTCTTCAAAGCCATATCATAGAGCAAACCTGAGCAAGCGGTTTGTGCCACCTTCTAGGGCCCATTCTCAAGCGATTTGCATACAGGTCCAAGAAGGGGCAGATGGCAAAAAGTCCAACAGGTCCAACATGTGCATTGAAACTACCCAAGGCGGTATAACAAGAACATGTCAGATTCACGTACTCTTAAAGCCGCCGCTGTCAACATCATGATGTTACGCTTGGACACTCTTTTGATGGTTCCGATGTGCGTTGGAGCCATAACTGAAGGACTTGCTGCAGCCACCAACGAAGAGGAAGGATGATCCCCAGACGCAAGTCCTTCTTGAGGATTTCTAACGGCCACCGTTTGAGGATTTCACCGCGCCACAGTTGGCCGACCGTTTGGCCGCCACGGACCATGTGACCTCGAAAGAATTCTACGGTAGGACTTAAGATTATGCTTTGCGAAAGGAAAACTGCAGTTGGGAAGGTTTGGAGAAAGGCTCTGAATTTTCGATGAATGGATTTTGTTGCAAAAGCGTTGGCGAAAGAGCTTTTTTGTACAAAGCATGTCATCTAAATGGTTGTTCAAAAGCAACAAAGATTCCTGATAACCAGGCGAAAGGTTGCCGAAAGGTTCGCGAAGATGTGGCATAAGCAGTGGTTGCAGATTAGGAATGATTCCCCTTTGCTGATACTTTGCTTAGATGTAAGTAGCAGAAACTCGGCGAAAGGTTCAGCGAAAGAGGTTTTTGGGTGAAGTGGGTCAGCGAAAGCAAAAAATGCAGCCGCGAAAGCGTTGCGAAGGGATTGGCAAAAGGTTTTTATAATCGTTAATAAAAGTTCTGGTTGGTTTTTGACACCGCTCATGTAGAGTCTGTTTGTTGGGAAGATTTCTTGGAGACGCCGTCAGATCAAAGGATGCAGATTCACCCTTGCAGCCTAGCATAGAGCCTGACAACACTGGTGTTGAATTCGGAACAGTTTCTTCCCACTGCCAATCTTCAATTATACTTTAATATTATATTCTATGTCAGCTTGCGAGGGTGTATGGTGCACCTTAGCTCTCCACGTCCTCCAGCTTTGGCGTTGCCAGGCCTGGACGTCTGGACCGCCAGCCCAGCTCGCAGCGGTGGACCGACGGAAACGGGGAGATCAGAGGAAACGGGGTGCCTGATAGTGCCTGCAATTCAACGGGCAGTTTGGATGGCACTTTCAAGAGGAAAGGAAGGCACCGTGCGGACATACTGCTTGAAGCTTGGATGGCTATCAGTCCATGGCGATCAAACCACACTCCAGTGGACATCATTGGCTAATGGCAACGCACGTATAGGACGATTAGGGTATATTAATGACAATGGTATCACCTCTATACAAATCGAGAACCTGAGTGACCTGGTTCTTGTACCCGCTTGTGCCACCCACCACCCCAGCAAAACCGCCTTTTGACCTTTGAAAACAGCAGGTTCCAATCCAGCCGGGTGCCACTCCCTTCGGAGCAGCGCTTCCGCGCGCACCGGGTGCTGTGACGCCCGCACTCGGAGCCTCTGCACACTTCGAGCACGGGCCCTTGCCGCTCGGCATGGTGAACGTGGGACAACTTGTAGTGCCAAGACTTGCTGTAAGGATCTGTAAGGTGTGAAACTATGTGAATACTCAATCAAATCATCAAATCCTTAACCCAATGGCCCTAATACTATTGTTGAAGAGGTTGAGTGTTGGGCTTGCAGGTGAGCATTGAGGATGTCAGTCAACTTAGCAGTTCAGCTGAGTTTGGCCCCAATCTGGCCCAAATCCTGATTTGCCAACTCCTATTAAGAAGTCCCGTGCTATCCAAGGCCATTGCGATTGGAGGCTGAGCCCATCGTGCGAGATAGTTTAGGTCCTGCCAGTGTGGGATCTTAGTTTTGTCAAAGTCGCACTGAAAGGACGATCTTTTGGACGATATGTTTGATATTTTTTGTGAGCGACAACCCCACCCCTTTGGAACTGCTGGTCGCAGCTTTTCGTTTCGTTTCATCTCTCACTTTTCGGGTCCGGTCGCAGCCTCATGGTCTCCATTTGTGAACTGCAAGCATAGACAGCATAGATCATCAAACTATATCAAATTGACGGCACGGTGCTTGGACACCCCTGTTGTGTTGTTCATGTTCTCTTCAGTGGAGCATTTTGACAAACAAAACAACCATAAACAACTGCTTGAGCCACTCTTGACTTTAGCCGGGACAAATGGACATCAACGGGTTCTTTTTGATGTTGTCGTTGAAGAACGGTCAGATTGAGTCCATTCCATGGTTTGCATGCTTGGCAGCCCGGCTCCTTCATTTAAGATACTTGACCGCCCGGCCGGAGTGAGATCAAGTTCTGGGGTTGGAAGAAGCCAGCAATTGTTGTGATAGCATGTTTATTTTACAGTTTGATCCCCAACCGATGCATGTTTGTATATGTTCCTTCTTCTTACACAACCATATACCACCTATATACTTCCAAGGGGTCTCCAGTATACTACTCTGCAGTGCTTGTGGGCTTCCAGTGGACAATCATTGGGATGGTGATGGTGCTGGTTGTTTTTCCCGTTTGTGTTGCTTTGAAGGTTGCTCCTTGGTGATGAACTAGTTGACGTTCACTGTCGCACCTTTGCAGAAAGAGTCCCACTGAGAATGGGAGCGAGGCCGTTGCCCAAAGTGATTAAGTGACCAAAGCATCGGCAACGGAGCGTGGCGCCATGGGCACTTTGCATGCAGCTCAAGAGGAGCAGACAAATGGGACGGGGTTGCGGGTTTCATGTTTTCCGGGGCTTCGTACTTCCAGGGTTGGACGTTTTGACCAGGCTTGAATAATTATGCTAACCGCCAGCCCAGTAAGTAGAGGGATGTAGAGGGTTCAAATCTACACTCGGTGGTCCTGCTGCTCCACTTGGTCTATCAACAGCAGGAGTCAATTTTTTTATGCTGAGCTTTTAAAGCGGGACACACTTGCCACAATATGTTGGTAGGACATTTTCGGCTGGCCGTCGGCTTGTTCCTGGATTAAGGATGAACACCATGCATCTCCATGAGTGATGTGCACCAGTTTTGCAAGCTGCATGAGCTCTCAGTTTTTGCAAGAACCATATTGCAATAATAGTATATATATATATTCCACCCTAGAGCTAAATTTGACCTAATTGTTTTCAATGGCGCCATGGGATGAGTTTCAAAAGTGCGGCTTTCGCCCTGCCGTGGAGAAGGCCTTACTAGCACTTGGCTTTGAGAGGCCGACACCGATTCAGGCGTATTCGGGCTGCCATCAGCGTTTGTTGAGCTTTAAGTGTTTGCAGGATTAACCAGGCCTCTTGAAAGCTCAACACACTTGAAGTGTTTGGAGGACACAAGTTTAGTTTGGAGCGGCGTAGCAACTTCAGGTATGCTTGGCCGGCGATCATTACAGGCCAGGATGTCATTGGAGTGTCCGCCACGGGAAGTGGAAAGACACTGGCCTTCTTGGTGCCAGTTGCTTAGGTGACGAAAGCATCCTTTGCTTTTAAAGTCCATCGTTTAGGACAGCCTCAAGATATTCAAGCCAAGCTACTAACCGTCCAAGCCGTGCAGCTTAGACAACCACTTTGATTAAGGTATGGGGATGACATTTCAGATCATCTATGTATTTGTGTACACTCCATCATGCATGGTCCATTCTGGGCAGATGAGGCAGTGATTCTGCTGATGCAGCTCCCGTTTGGTCGGAAGTTGGGGAGTTCCTTGGCGTATCCGGGCACGTCTGCGTCTCGCAGAGCTGCTTCACGACAAATGCCTCCTGCAAATTCTCCACCTCGTTGCAGTTCCACCCGGCACAGATCACCACGGCCTGTTGATTCTTGCACCTACCCGAGAACTGGCAGACCAAATCCATGAAGAGGGCAAGCGATTGACGTCCCACATCAGAACCATGCTCCGCTCAGTCACAATCTATGGCGGTGTGGACGTGCAAGTTCAGAAGAAGGCTTTATCTCAGGGAGTTCATTGGTGCGTGGCGACGCCTGGCCGCTTGCTGGACTTCTTGGAACGCAAGTGGATGCTCAGACTATATCACGAAAGGTAGCGGTTACCCTACCTGAGTTTTCCTTTTGCTTTAGCAAAAATGAATTATAGTGGACACCCATCTCACTGAGAATCGCCCTCCGACATTTCATTTTAGAGGCCGGGCCCCCCCCGCTTTCAACTCCACCCTGGCGTGGCTCTTTGTCAACGCCTACAAAACACACTAAGTGTTTTCAGCTCCTCCAGTCTGCAAGAGTTGCCTCAAACCACGCAATTTGCAGGGTTTTCTGTGGCTGTCCGGCCAAAAACCTTGTAAAAACCGATGGTTTTTGAAGTGTCTACGACGGTACTACGCCTCGTCCAGGGTTACGCCTGATTCCCTGCTACCTTTCGTTCACCCCCTCCTCTCTCAAGTTGTTATTGATCCATGTTATATACCTTTGGCACGTTTAGGGTTCCATTGTCAATTGTTCATGATTGTGGTGGATGTAATTTGGTGAAACTTGAGATGTTCAGTCCCGCAGTGGTCACACGAGGTTGTCTTTAGAGAAGCTCGCCGTGCTAGTCCTAGACGAAGCCGACCGGATGCTGGATCAAGGCTTTGAACTGGATTTGCGGAAGATCATGTCCTATAGACCAGTGAAGCTTCAGACGCTTCTGTTCACCGCAACTTGGGAACCTTCCACAAAGGTGCAGCTCCTGGCAAGTGACTTTTTGGTGGATCCGGAGATCATCGAAATCAGCAATGCAAGCAGGGCTGCCAACCCAAACATCACTCATCAATTTCATGTGTGTCGCAGCGAGCGTGAGAAGCTCACACGACTGATCGAGCAGATCGGCCAGCTAACCGATCAGCAGAAACTGATCGTTTTCGTCAATACCAAGGCCGGACGTTGTTGACCTGAAAATGGATCCCATGCATGATTGAATTTCAACTGGCATTTGGAAGGGGATAGCGATTGGGACCGGTACACGCGGTGTATTGTTTGACGGTTAAGAGTGTTGCTTCCCCTAAAGGCAGGCTGCCTTGAAGTCCAGTCCACCTTAGCCCGCTTCCGGATACCATCATTTATTTTACAAGGAGATATGGACCAGGCCAGCAGAGAGGCCTCCTTGACTGAATTCAGGAACAAGCCAGGAGTGTTGGTGGCTACAGATGTAGCCGCACGGGGCTTGGACGTTGACAATGTGAAGGTGGTCTTCAATTTTGATTTGCCAACGACCAGTGATACCTTTGTCCATCGTGTGGGGCGGACGGGTCGCGCTGAGCAGCATGGGATGGCAGTGACTCTGCTGAACCCTTTCGACAGACGGGAGCAACAAGTTGCCCAAGAAGTGGCCAATTACTTAGTTGCCGCTGGCGTCTACAACATGGAGCTGCATGTTTTTTTGCAAGAAGGCCTGGAGACTGGAAGCACTTTCAGTGGCTCAGCTGCGTGAAGCAGTGAGTACGAGTTGAATAATTCCTTCCACCTATTATTAAACACGGCTCCCCTATTGACAAAACTCGGGTGCATTTTTTTTAAATAGGGGGTCCCTGAAATAGGGGTTGTCCAAAATAGGGTCAGTGAGAGGAGAATGGAATCATTGATTAATTCCATATGAAATGCAAGTTTCCTGGCAGGCGCAGCGCTTTGTGAAGCTTGAAGTGCAGATTTCGTCCAGAAACCTGGGAAGAGCTTCAAAACCTGGGAAGGGCTCGCCCAGGACAATTTTACAATATTTTACATAACATCCTTTAAACAAAACTCGTACTTGCATCAAAAAGAGAAAGACTCCAGATCGAAGGGTCTTCCTTTTTCCCTTACAAACACCTTTATTAACATAGTGATTCTTCATTAGACTAACAACTAACAGAGGGTGGACATAGGGGACATAGGTGGGCAGTTAGGGTTGTTTTTGGAACCTAATACTGTAGATCAAAAAGAAAAAACTTAAGACAATGGCAATGTTAGTAGTTTAGTAGCAGCTTTAAAGGGCGCCAATTTAAAAACATATCTCAACCATTCTAAACCGTTTTTAGGGGTTTCCGACGGGCGTTCTTTTTTATAGGCGAGTGTTTATTTATCGGGAATATTCTGTCTCGGATTATGGTGCTTGGTGACAGGGTTTTGTGCGCTCACCCAGGCTCCAAGTTCCAAACAGCAGAATGTCTTTATTGTACTCCAACTGCAATTTGCCGGGTGACCAGGGCTGGGAAGAAGTGACATGTGCGTGAGGTGTAAGAGTGGTGGTGTTCTTGTAATTTAGTGCTGATGGTGCGGCATGGTGGCCTATTAATGCTTTTGCACCTTTTGCTTGTCCATAAACTTTAAGTTCAAATTTTTCCGCTACTATTTCTCGACGTAGCGAAAACACCTTCTCATTGAAGTCTCAAAACTTTGCCCTCGGTTTGGAGAAGGGCCTTCCATGAGGTGGTGTCACTGTTCCGTGAGGTGGTGTCACTGGCGGCTACACCCACAACACAGGTCTCACACAGCCGGATATTGAATTGGAAGGACACCAGCTGGCGCGTGTCTTGGCCAGTGACGAGGACATCGTGAAGGAAACCCTTCGGCGAGGCGCGCACACCTGAGGACAGTCATTTAAGGTCCTCACGTATAGCTGATGCTTGGGAGGGATCTAAAGAGCCGGGACTATCCATATTTCCCCTTTAAACATCTTTAAACAGGGAGCTACCCCCAACCACTTGCCAGTCATTTAGTATGTGATGTTAAAAAGCAACCAAGGAAAAATGTAATGAGTGGTCCCGTTTTTTGCAAACCATGGCTGATTCATTGCAAAACGATAAATAGGTTTTAAAGACAATACACATATAAAAAAGCAATGACATGACATCAGAGAATGTGATCAAACCAGGGGAATGTTGACGGTCTCGTTTCTCTACAGTCACTTCTGTGGGCCGTACTAGTTTGACATCAACTTTTGTAGTCATGTTAAAAGAGCAGTACCAGCGAGTGCCAGGGTACTTTGTTGACACCTGTTCTGCTTGCGAACATGGAAATTGTTTGCCTCGAGGCTTGCGCTTCTTGAACATTGAGCGAAGCAAAGCTTTGGATGATCGTTTTCGTCGCCCAAAATGGCGCTTCCGCCGCTTGGTATCTTTCAAAGAGCTCAGGGAGGCAGCAAAGCGACATGAGAAAGGTGAAGAAGCCTTGGGTTCGCTAGCTCGTGAATCCAACGAAGCTGGCGAAAGCATGTTGGGAATCGTGCACGTGATGATCACTGATTTGTATGATCCCACAACATATGTGGCAACTGAGATGTTTGAAGTCCCTCATGAGCGTGACCACAAGTGGCAAGTTTTCTGCCAGGTGACCGAGATGCTTATGGAGTCCGATGATGTTGAATTTGCAGAGCAAGTCACTGGGAATGCAGCATTTCAGGAAGCACTACATGCAACATGGCTGGAGGGTGATACTGAGGATGAGTTCTACTTCCAGACATTCAGCAAGCAACCCTTTCCACAGTTCAAGTATAAGCCGCTACTTCACCATCTTTGTGAGGAAGGCACCTTTGTCGAAACTTTGCGTTTCCTCCTGAGCCGCTTTTCGCACCAGACGGCGGAAAAGCCATGGCTGAGGTTAGTGGATGTGGAACAACGGGAGAAGCAGTATGGCAACACTGCCTTTCACATTTGTGCCTATGCTGGGCATGTTGAACTTCTCGATGAGCTTGTGAAACATGCTCAGAAACATGAAGTACCTGTGGAGCTGCTGAAAACAACCAAGGGGGAAACAGCTTTGGACGTGGCCTTGGCACGAAACAACTATGCTTGCTTCAATCTTCTAGTTCCTTTCTTTGCGGGTGCGCAGCCATATGACGAAAGCAACAACTCCTCCAAGTCGCAGAGTGTGCTGGTAGTGGATGGTCCTGAAGAGACGGGCCAGCCAGCTGAGCGTGTTTCTTGCGATTTACCGAGCTCCCTGTCTTTGAGAGATCTCACTACCCACTTGCAAGTGCTTTTGAAGCAGCTTCCAGGCAAACCTCACCTCATCCTTTTGAAGAAGGTTCACCTTCATTTGGGTGGTTCTTTGCGTTCTTGAGATTGACGATGCCAGCTGTGTTTTTGACCGCATATCGCTGCACTACAGAAAGTCTGGATGTTTGCACTCATTTTCTTCAGGCACTAGTGCAAATCTTCCAGCAAGAATGCCCATGTTGGGATCGGTTTTTCTTCATGCCGCTGGTTCGAGGAGACCCTACAGTGGATGAAAAGGAACGCTTCACCCAGACCACCTTAGATCTTGTAGCTTGGTGTAGCTTAATTAAGGTGATGTTTTATTATGTTTTATTTTCCCTATGGCATCCTATGATTAAATTCATTCTTGTGAATGTTATTACTTTTTCAGGTTCCTTAAGCAAATCCAAGGTGGATGTCTTGAATGCGCGATCCCAACAGGGCACGTTGTGGTTGCACAGCTTCGGGCGTGACGGGTCTGCAAAGTTTGCGTATCCAAGATCATATCTCACCAAGGCGTTCTTGGCCGAGGTCGTGCAGGGTTTGTTCCATGTGAATAGCTTCGTTTGGATTCGAAGCAAGCTTGAGAAACAGTTCAACTCCCAAGATGTTGCCGTCAAGGTCTCCAAGAGATCACGGTCAGGTCGAGGTCAGCTCAGTGAAGAAGACGTACGAATGTTGCATTTCTTCTCAGCGAAGTTGAATTTCATCGAGCGCTACTGCTTTTCCGCTGAGTTGGTCAAGAAGGATTGGGCCGAGACCTCTCCGGTAGAGGGTCTTCGTTGTGGGGTTGATGTGGAGAGAGTGGAAATGGTGGCAAGTGAATGGATCCTCAACCATTGCTTTGAAAAAGGATTTGGCAACCTTTTGGTTGCAACCTTTTGGTTGCCGTTGACTCGTTGGACTCGTTAGTTTGGACAACACGCCTCTAAGAGACTTTCCTTGTGATTTTTCTGCAAGCAAGGTTGAACTATTGGGCATTTCCTCTAGCTGGTGCAAAGCCCCAAGGTTTGGAGAGGATGTTTATGGACTACTTGGCGGCATTGGATGAGGGTTTGTGGTGCCTTCTTCAGCATCATCGCTTGCTGCCCAGTCTGCCACAGCTTGTTCAACGGATGGTGGACACATTGCCGGTAGAAGAGGCCCAGAGACTACCAATGGCATTGGCTTGGCTGCAGAATCATGACAAAACCAAGATAGTCTCGTCATAGTCATTCCTTGGCGCGTTGAAAGACCGTCATGACCGTATATGTGTTTTTCAGCGAGGCGGCTTCGTCGCCTATCCCTCAGGCTCATCTTCTCAAAGCAGATTGGACATTTCAACCAATTGTACAGTGTACAGTATGCTGTCCTGCTCAGTGAAGACGAGTGAAACGTGTTTCACCTCGCAAGAGACCAAATACTGCAAAAGCTGAAGATAATTATACTTTTCTCTGTTTTCCTCAAGACTCACCCAATCGCAAGATGGCCCCCCCTTTTCATGCTTTTCTTCCTGTCAGCCTCTCCCGAAGGATCCTTACCATCAAAAAAAATGACACCTGAAGAGGTGTCCTCTCCTGGTGCGGCTGTGAAAGTTTGTGAAACGGATGTTCCAACGGTGAACTCCTGGGTTCCTCTCCTGCATCACCCATCTATGTGTCCTTCCAATGCTGCAGGAGCGGTCCGACCTCCAGCTTTTGCCATCCAATGTTGGGGGCCCAGGAAGTCACTCAGTCACAGCCACCAAATTGTGTGCTTGACAGTCACAGGTCCCTTTTCAAGCAAGAATAAGATGAATATCTAAGAATTGTTAACTATGTTTAAATATATAAATTCATCAGATGAATAAACGGTATTAATTAAAATATCAATCCAAAAACATGCAAGAAAACACAGCTTTGATGCCAACAAGCTTTTCGCGGTAGTGCCAAAGTTTTCCATGGTTGTATGGTTGCTTGCGTGTCTAGCATATATTGTTTGGATCTGGCAGCCGCGCACAAGCCATTTCAAGCAAGTTTTTTGCACGATCTTTACTGATGGTCACTTGACCATCCGCTTTATCTAGAAGAGCAGCCAGGGAGGTTTTGAGGATGCTTGATGCTGATACAGTAAGTTTGTTTGCTGGTAAGTTTGTTCGCCGTGGGGAACGCACATAAAGTACTATACCCTCCCCCATAACCCAGCGCATCCTCCTTCAGGGGAGAATTAATTACTGTACTAATCTGTTCTGTATTTGATCTTCCACGTCGACTTGTGGGTTTGGTGTGTTGGTTTGGTGATTGCACTTTTGTTTCTGGGCTCAAAACAACCAGACCGCGACTGAGGTGATGCGCAGCATGCCCTACACCGCGTAGCTGGGATTGCAGAGGGAAGCAATGGAAAATGAGCACAGCATACAGCGGAATACATGCTTGAAACATGTTGAAACTCTTTTTGCTTTTGAAACTCTTTTTGCTTTCCCAAACATCAAGTTGGAGTTGGGATTTAAACCACTGTTTCTTGATCCATCCTTTTTGGAGAGTCCAAACACCAACCAACACAAGTCACAACAATTTGGCAGATACTAAAGCAGAAACTGGCTTTTTGACTCTGCTGTGAGACATCAATTGCCATAATCTATCTTGCGCCACGGCATGGTTTTGAAGCGATTCATTTTGATCCAAGTCTTAATGTAGACCGTTCAATTACCCCTCCCGAAAAAGATGTTGTTCACCCTGTTGGCTAGGCCAAAAAGGGTGTCAAATCCACCGTTGATCGAGCCCGCGGCGTCACCCCTCGAGGTATATCGCGGTGGGGTCCTATGCCTTGATCTTTTGGTCTCAAGAAGCAGCCTTGCTCGAGGCAACTGAAAGCACACGACGGGGACGGTTTCTTCGGGGCGAAGATCGACACGTGGCGGGTCACCGTGGAAATACGTCCAAATAGGATCGAATTGCAATGATATGTGTATGTGTGAGCTGTTTAACTATTGAATACTATTGAGTGCTGGAGCCTACAAGTGTCTCCCATGTCTCGGCCAAGCCATATCCGCCGTTTCCTAGGTTGTTGGTTGGTTGATGCCATTGTTTTCTTGCCGCGGAGAGGGAAATCGCAGAGAGGCAACCACCGGATCACAAACTTATCACTATCGATGCAAACTTAATGGGCCCTCCCTTAAATATTTATTCCAGGGGGGCATGTCACATAGTGGAATATTTTTTGTGGAATAATTAGACGGTAGAATATTTATTTAAATAATCCTAAAGGGGGTCTCTTGATGCTGAGACTCAGGAGGAATAATTTCATGCCAACTATCCCTGGAATAATTTACATAATCGAAGCTACTATCGAAGCTTTTCGAGCCTGTGTTGATCTGTCTTGGATCTGTTCCACGAGTTGATATTTCTAATGACAGAAAATATTCCTGCATCAGGTGCACATCTGGAATAATTATCCTGAAACTATGTTCAAGGCCCCAGGAATAATTGCTAATTATTCCTAGGTATGTGGAGATAGGGGGGGGTCTAAGGTAGGGGCCATCAAACTTATATATCGGGGGGATGGTTTTGTGATTGCTCGCGAAGCTGATCAAAGGTGATTCGGACAACTGGTTTTGACGATCAGATGCATATGGAATGCCTGTGGAAGACTCAATAAGTCTCAACTATTTGGTTCGCCCATGGGCACTCTTGGTTTCTTGTGTTCGGTTCTGAGACGTTTGGTTCGCCCGATGGACCAATTGGCTCCTGCACAAGCAGGATCCACGTGGGCTGCATGTCGAGTTGAAACATTCCGATGTCCAGAGTCATATTGGCTGTGTGGAGCGGGGCCAAGACTCGACTGACAGAATCAACTACCATAAAGCCACCAGGTATAGTTCAGGAAACCATCCTGATTCACAACCCCTTCTCCAGGTATTGGTTTCTGGAGCCCTGCTGCGTTCAAGTAGGCCTTACTTTTATCCAACGAGCTGCTGAACGCCTTCTTCAAGAAGCTGGCGAGCAAGTTGGTGGGGAAGGAGGCACGGTGTCACAGTCACAACCGCCACCTTGCATGGCCAGCAAAGTCTTAGGTTGTTTCAGAACAGTCTGAGGGTAGATCAGCTTTACGGACCTCGACAATCCTCGACACGTTTTTGGAAGGCCAGATGGATCAAAAGACCACGTGGTGCTGCCGACAGCGCATGACTCAGACTCGGCTGCAAATGACCAGGAAGCACCAGACATCACCAGACAATGAAAACGTGTCAAGCACTATTTTGGCCGGGCGAATGTCCCCTTAGCAGGGCTCCTTTGGGGTCTCCAGCGGTAATGCACCTAACTACTTGGACGCTGCCACACGCTCCGCTCCAAGGTGGGATCTACCCGCAGCACTTCCCCAAGATGAGCACATCGCAGCTCGCTTTGTTCACCGGAAGTGCCCGGCTCGTGAGGTTTCCTCTACTACCAGTCGCTTGCGTAGCTTGCAATTATGCTGGGTAGGAGCACCTCAAAAACAACTAGGGCAACTTGTCATTTGGTGCCCCATTCACATGGTTCATCCAGATTCCAGTCTTTGACTTTGAGCTTTGAGCCACGCACAAAACCAAACAACAACGCTCAGGAGTGGCATGCCCAGCGGTCACGCGCAAACGAGCGCTCTTCTGGCGACGGTGTTCACTTGCTTCTTGGAATTGACGCCAGGTGGATGGTTTTTTTCGTTTCGCTTCCAACCATCGACAGGAGCACGATCTTGTTTGCCTCCTCACAGGAGCACTCCAAAGTAGATTCTTGGTGCCGCAAGCTGTACGCAGGTTCTTCATGGCTCTTCGTAAGACACCGGGATTGAAAAGGGTTATCAGGATAAGTTATCAGGAGGTTGAAAAGCATCGCCAGGGAGTGGAAGATCCAGTCGTTTCGGTGCCTCTCTTCAAAGAACTTGGAGCTTTGGGAGACCAGTTTGGGCCCTGGTTTGAGGTTTGACAGGAGTGTGGCTAGTTGGAAAAGGAGGCTGGCCCAAAGCGTGCGCCTGCTCAATAATGTAATTAGATCTCTATAATAGATGAGCAAACGAGCCTGACCTGATAAGCTTCCTTCAGTGTCAGCCCTCGGACATCCATTCTTCTCATCCTCGTGGAAAGGTCACCAAAATGTTTGCAGCAAATGTTCATCGGACGAAGGGGGTTATTGTGCATCGGCATGTTGTCCAGTTCTTCCGCCATTTGGATTCACACAACTCCAGCGCATTGATTGAGGTTTCAGCTGCCCCTCTCCAAGTAAACCCTTCTTGACTCTTCATTCCAAACTAGATATACTCTAAGATCGTGCTTTTGGAGGATGCACATTGATTATCTACCCCAGGATTGGGAGAAACGTGTTTTGAATGGCCAGAGACTGGAGGCCAAAATGGCCTCTTTTTGAGTTACCAAGGTCACCTCCTTGATCTTCAACCACACATGGACCCGGAACCTTTGGCTGAAAGTGAATCGCTGGAGTCAACCACGGTGGGAAACCGGTTCCGCGGGGGCGACCGGGCGTCCTACCATGCGTCCGCATGCTTCGAAGGCACCGGGTTTTTGAGGCAATGTGGGTTGGTCTTGAAGGTGCCATTTGTATCCATTCACCGCCATTTCCAAGGTGCCAGACTTACCAACCAGGGTGGGCACATCTTTGAGGGTGTTTCTTTCTGAGAGCAGAATTGCAGAATGGAACAAGTTCCGAGCTCAGGACTTGCCAGGGATATCGACTTCACCCTTAGAAGCCAAGAACGTGGTGCCTCTGGTCTACGTGTGGCCACTTGGCGTGGTTTGCTAGAGCAGGGGTGTTTCATCGTAGAGCGGCACCTCCAAACTGACAAAGGGCCCACCATAGAAACGACCAACACTTGGCAGAGACGAGCAGATAGCCCACTGTGTGATCAATTTGTGCACCCCACGGCCTCACGGACCGCCGCAGAGCCTTCATCGGTGCTTAGGCTGGTTGCCTTGTGCGTGCCTCCGGCGAGATTGGCGCTGCCCCTGTTTCACTAAAAATTTCTGAACATCGCAGTGTTTGTTTGAACACCCCCAGCGTTGCCTATGTATGCTGTTGTGACGGAGCCCAACGGGCACACGTCTTCTAATTTTTTTTGGGGGGATCATGCGGATATCATATGTGTTCCTTAAAGAAGATACCCCCTCAGGGTGCAGGTTCGCCTGTCAGTGGCGGGTCAGCCAGCTGCGCATCGCATGTGTCTTGTCACTGCCAGGTGATGTTCTCCCGGACGCGCTTTGGTGGACCGCTGGCCGTGAACATCGGCGGCCGGGCGGTGGTGCAGCCACTGGGCTCGCGTTTCAGCGGTTTTCGGGGTCGGCAGCTGGCATCCATGTGACTGGAATATACTGGAATGAGTACTGGAATGACTTTGCTCCTAGAAGCTTAATGTATATGACTATTCATTGACCCAGGTGAACCACGCCCACCCGATTGGTCAATATGCCATGCACGGGATGGTCGAGTCATTCGAGTCGTTCGAGTCCCGCCGTGCCAGGTCGTCGGATCGGACGAGGTCGGAAGATCGTCGTTCGTCGTTCGAAACGGAGACCGGTTACCGAAACACCAATGTCTTTCCCAGACACTCCATGGGACTGCCATATATGCCGATCAGTTGGGGTGGTTTAGGGGGTCAATGGGGCGGCAGTCCTATGGCAGTCCCATGGAGTGTTTGGGAAAGACATGGGCAGATCGAGGAACTCGCCCGGAACGAAGGCCCTTCCATGGACCGTGACAGGTGTCACGGTCCTTCCATACCAGACATTGTCCAGTTTCTATGTGAGATGGTGCCGAGAGGTGCCATGAGGTGCGAGAGCTGGAAGGGATGAAGCTTCCAGCGCAGACCATGGGGGAAGATGTGGCTTTGACATGGTGACAGTTTAAATCCCATTTCTCGCAAAGCACATCATCATGTGTGTGTGGTTTGTGTCGGCAACCATCCTTCCCATGATCCTGGCATTACTGCTAGTAACAAGATGCTACTAGGTGGAGGCCACCGCTATTAGGTTGGAGGCCATTACTACTAGGAACAAGAAGCTACTAGGGGCTCCTGGCCGTACTACTAGGAGCAAGGACGCTAGGAACAGGGCTCCTGGCCTTACTAGTGCTACTGGGCGCCTCAAGAAGCGGCTTCAGTTCGCCTCTTGAGGCACAGCTGCCTACAAATTCTGATCGGTGCGAGCTTGGGCCTCTCCCTTGGGATCAGTGGCTTTTGGCCGGGGATCCCACGGACCCACGGTGCTTAGGGAGAGGGAGACCGTGGATCCGGTGCTGAGGACGGTTCTGGTGCTACACGGTTCGGCAGCCGCCGGGACGAGACGAGCCTATATTCAGACTGGGCTACACGGAGTCCCCCAACCAGAGTTTTGATGAGTTTTGCTGTGGCTCCCTGACATTCTACATTGGTTGTTCGCTTGGTGCCACTGTTATCCGCTATTGCAGTGGTTCCTTGATTTGATGTGTCCCTTTCCTTGGTTTTGAGCTGTGCTATTATATACGTATTTTATATACACGACTATATTATATATATAGATCCGTAGCACTGTAGATCTATTTATTTGCAGGCTTCCCGCATGTCGTTATTGAACCCTCCAATCAGGAGGGAAAACTGCCTTCATCCCTCAACCGTTCAGCCCTCAACCGTTCTCACAAGACCTGAAAGAGCTGGAGACAACCTAGGACTTGCCAGGAAAAGGACTTGCCATCCTAAAGTTTAAGAATTGGCCCAACATGTTGCGGAAGTCGTTCCATCAACCACAACAAGGTTCCAACTTCTCGAACCCCCCGGCAGGGTTCCAACCCCCCCCTAGCAAGCCTTGCCTCAGCCATCCATTTCGCATACAACCTGGGGTTCAAGCATTAATGAACACCCACGGAAATCCATGGGGGCCACTCCAAGAAAGAACTGGGGGCACCCTCGGCGTGCCAGGCTTTACCTTGGCCAAGGGGGTTGGCAGCCCTGGCAGTATGGAATTGGCATGGCGTTGGGATGGATTTGTTTGTTTTTGTTGGATGGGTGCTTAGCGGTTTGGTGTGCCACAAAGTTTCAGCAAGCCTTTGACGGTTGGTGATGACAACAGAACTCTGGCTGTGGCAAAGGGGTAGCCCACGATGGCCCAGAGGGTTCAAGCCTGAACATTAGGCGCATGTTATACAGTATACAAGCCTTTCCGTCACCTTGTGGTTATTGACTTGGCGGTGAACATACCGTATTCAGGGCTTTGGTGTTAGTACATGTTTGTCAAACTGGCAGATGAATTGACCAAGATTGTATGTACCTTTGACAATGCTTGCGCTTCCGATGTGCTGAAGATGTTCAGGACACAGCGGGGGTCGGGGACCTGTGACAAGGATCGCAAAGCTCAGGTTGGTGGCTAGGACTGGTTGTAGCTGTCCTGGCACCTTGGCGGAATGGGGAATCGGATGCCTTTTTGGGCCCTCAGGGTTTGCCAATTGGGTGTGCCTTTTTGTTCGGGGAGATTGATGAAACACCTGTGAGCAATGCCCTGTTCCGACTGTTCTGAACGCATGTCCGAAGTGTTCTCCTGTAGGGCCGCCGGAGGCCCTTCTTTCAACAATTGGCCATTGACATTATATATATATAGTTACTTTAAATATAACTATAGTTTGTGTACTCTCTTTTGTGCGCTTTTTTGGCCAGTGGGGCTACTTTGCATGTTTTGTAAAACATCGTGCACATTGACAGGCATCGACAGCAACCGCCCGGCAAAGCCAAAAACATCCAGCTACCAGTGCAAAGCCCCAGTTCCAAGCATCAACTGGCTTCCCTGAAGTGCACGCTAGCACCGTGAAGGGGTGAGTGCTGAAAACTGGAGGCGAGCTGCAAAAGGAAGCCAGTCCCTTCCACAGAAGCAGCGTCAGCAACCTCAGCAAAGGCGCTCACATGTGCCCCAACAAAGCGGGTGTTCATATAGACTGAAATGCTGGGAACCGTGTTCGTCAGAATTGAACCCACCAAACGTCAATTTGTCAGGCAGGAAGTTGCCTACAGGATCTCTCCGCTTGGGGTCCTGCAAGCCGGTCAACATCCAGTTGCCCCTCTGGGATTGCTGTTTGCCTTGTGTTTTGAATCACTTTAGTCACCACTTGACCATGTAATCTCTGAGAATCAGCAATCATTGTCAATCTAGGACGAATCCGTCATTGTTAGAGCTGCCAGTGTAGCTTTAATAAGGACAATATATGATGTATGGTTCCTTCAGGTAATGTCCCTGGTCATCGCACTGGCCCTGTGCCTTGAAGCCGAGCCATCTTCGAAGCAAAAGGATGCTTCCTCCACAGGCCGGTCACTTGAGGTGGTTGAAAAGGGAGGGATCCATGTAGAGACCCCCCGACTCACTCTTCGTAAAGGAAAATGGATCAGGGCCAAGGTTCCACGTCCATACACTCGTGGACATACCTGACGTTCTTCGTTCGCCGGTGCGCGCACATCGAAGCCTCAACGACAATAACAAGAGAGAGGGAGAGACAGAGCTCTTCTATTGATATGATATGCCGCATATTTGCCGGTTTAAAGACAGTGTCAAATCTGGAGGCTGGAGAAGAAGAAACTACCTCACATGTGCCAATGGTCGACGATTGTGGAGGATGTTCAGGCATCTACCCAGTGGACCCTATCGGGGAACACCTCGAAACAGGAAAGTGTCAATCCTCACGTCCTCACGCAGATGGCTCAGTGCCGTGAAAAGGAGTCATTGACACTGCACCACTGCACGGTTTGCATCATCGGATGCCTGGCCCCCAGCGCTTCGCGCTTTCGGCCAGATGACAACAACAGCACAGGGAGCGGAACACCAGAGGTGCCCACGGGGGGCGCGCGGTTTCCGCGCGTCCACGGGACGGATGAGGTGCCGACAACGGCCTGGAAGGAGTGAAGAACAAACGATGGCAGGAGACATCATAGAGCGACCAATGATGCCTTTTTGAAATCATAGAGAGGTGAGTTTGGTACCATGTGCCATCATATGCCTATTGGTTCTTCACTTTAGAAATCCTCAAAATCTACTGTACCCTCTATTCATCAACTGACCAGTGGTTCAAAGGCCATATCTATGGCCAATACCTGACGACACTGATCAGGCCAGGGGTCGTTGAAAAGGGGTCAATGTAGATACTGTAAGTATTCCCTGGGTATACCGTATACCTGTAACAGCCGGTAAACAACATCATTGTTTTTGAACAAGCTTTTTACTAACGATCATCACCACTGGGCCCTGGTAATGGGATATACCCCAAGTATTCTACACATACACATGTTTGGATGTTCCACTTCGCTGTGGGTTTGTGGTACTTCATTTGTTCAACAAAAACATGTCACCCCATGGGCGGCTGCCTCCAGCGTTTTCAGGTGTTTTTTGTTCCATGTCACCAGTGACACAATTGATCAATTGATGGAACCTGACTGGCATCATAGCTGACTGGTGCGCACGGGCAGACAAATGCTAGCTTGGTTGGCTATATATGTTGCCATCATATTTTTGGGGTGTTGCCCATCCACTGATTGGTTTTTTGATCAGTTGCTGAGAAATCCGTAGCAGTAGGGAACCAAACACGTTGTTCGCTTGCAACAGGCGGAGAAAAGTGCAGGAAACCAACGACTTAAATCACGAAGAGCTCAGACATGTGGTCACCTGAATCATCCTCCCGTAAGTTGTGTTGATTCAATATATAGATTCGCTTATAATCTATTTTACATATGTTTGTTTGGTGTCGCTGTACGTACTGGTTTGGGATGGGTTGAGTTGTTTGATTTTGAGGAAGTTGTTCGTGTGTGTGTGTGTGTGAGTGAGTGGGATGACGGATGCGAGTTTGTTTTTTCAGATAAAGTTGAGTTTAGAGGAGTATCCATCAATTGGGTTTGAGATCCCTTTTTGATTAGATGCTACGCGTTCAGTGGTTCGTCCGAGATATGGTTGCACATCAAGCGCTTTGTGACGGCTAACTGGGTTAGGGATATCGCTTAATCCGAATGTTCATTTTTCATGGAAGACCATGGAGCTCGTGACACATCAAGCCGTTCCTCACCGTCACCTCTCCCCACCACCTATCACCCAACATCGACGAGGCATGGCATCCAATCGGACCCCCGATGGATCGGCGTGCCCCCGATGGATCGGCATGCACCAGCTTCGACAGGGTGGAACTGGCTTCGGTACCAGCACTTCTGCTCAAGGCAGCGAGTGCAGACCTTGGGCAAGTTCGTTGTCTTGGTGGTAAAGAATAGACATGCTAAATGTTCACGTTCACGAAATGCGGGATTTGGGGGTGTCCTGATTCTAAGACACACACATTAAATTCTACCTGTGAGGAATTGTGGGACGACCTTTTTTCTGTTTGTTTTGCTGTGGCCACAGGTCCCATAAGGCCATAAGCAATATGTTATACAATTATACTCCGACTCACTGACTTGGAAGTGGAGAACCCCCTGTTCATAAATTGAGTCAGGCGTACATAGATATAGGGAGCATCATCATGATGAATCACTAGGTGAATCTTGGGACACCTCCCAAAACTCGTCCACACAGATGTTGTCAGTCACTATACCATTTGCTTTGTGTTTAACATGCATTGCCTTGAAACCCTTGTCAAGTTGAACTGGTTTGCTTGATGTGCGTTCCGCAGCTGACCGCAACTATTTAGATCTATTTAGAAGTACTTCATTAGATTTGCAATAGCTGATCAAGTCAGACGCTAAAGAGAGCTCTCTCATCAGATGGGGAGAGCAGCACCACAAGGTCTGGCCCCAGCCCTCCTGCAGCACCTTGGCAAAGATTTGCAAGTGCAGCAGATGTGATGTGATGCTCCAACAGAGCTTCCTGTTGGAAGACCATGTAGTTTGTCATCTCTCATGACGTATACTACAGTATACGTTCTTTTGTTTGGTGGGTGTTCGGTCAAACTAGCATCGATGAGGCGGGCTATGAGTCATTGGCTCCTCATCACAGAGCCAGCGCTGCCAACGACATGTGACAAAATCACCGCGTGTGGCCGTGCAAATACATGGTGTGCAAGCCGGCGGGCACGTATTTGCGGAAAACTAACTATACGGTTTTGGGGTTATGAATAATGTATTATACACACGGGAACGGACATGCCTGATCATGCTGAACATCCTTTTGAGCGAGTTTAGTTTGCATGCAGCTTTGCGTTGCTTCGTGCTGCTTTACTTGCATGTTTCGCACTTTCAAGTGGAACAATCGATTTCGGTAGTTATAAGAGGTCAGGTGCTTCTGACTAACGAAGCAGACTTTCTAACCCCTGACTTTGACACCAGACCCATGGAAACTCCATTTTGGGTTGCCCACTTGGGGAGCAGAAAGCCACTCACCCAGCTCAACGCCTTGCGTCGGCGTCTTTCTTGACGTCCCATCCGATCCCGGTTTTTGGGACGAGGTTTTTCCAAACCGGTCCGAGTCCCGAGGTCGAGTGATTGGAAGTGATGGCCGTGCCTCGGTTGTTCGTGAAGTGGTGATGTGAATGATGTGGCTTTCACTGACTGATGAAATAGAAGGAGAAGGCTCAACTTTCCTCTATAGGCGGGGTTTTCCTCTTCGTGTGCACGTGTTGGCCTGGTGGACTTTCGATGGCCAATCCATTCAAGCCACGCCTTTTTCACTCTGTTTCAATCCCATGTCCCTGCTGAACATCGTTATCAACTCCCCATGCCAGAACAGGTTTGGCCGGAAGGGACGGAGAAACTCCGCTGTCCCGTCTCCGTCACGCGCGGAGTTTTCGACGTCACGCGCGAGGTCCAGCCCTTGTGGTCACCGAGAGCGGGCTTGTGGTGCAGTCCCAAGCTGATCGCCGAACGACGGGCTTTGGCAGCTGATGCTGCAGCTGAGGGGTGAAGCAGGTATGTTGATTGCTATGATTCCCGAATAGTAGGCAACATGGCACACAGTGTCGAACATGTTTTTACATGGTTGAGTGACTTGTGATTGGACACTGAGATTCTTCGCAGCCTATTGGAGCAGTGGAGCAGCTTAATAAATCTTATTTGCTCATGATGAGCTAGATGCCGAGATAAACTTGTTTTAAGTTTGAGATAGTCTTCGCATATATAATATACGCAAGTTTCTTTCTTACTTCCCATTCCCCTGGTGCAACTGTGTGTTTCTCCTTGGAGGGTTATTTCGTACCCTATGATGCTGGCCGAAGCTTGCAGACAGCGGAAGCACCACAATCCTTCCATCAACGGAAGACGGATGCTGTTTCAGCCACCCAGGCGGTGGCTTTTGAAGCGCCTTTGCACCCAGTCCAGGCGGCTCAGGCGAGGGTGAACGCCGGGCGAAGTTCACGGCATGTGAGCCCGGAGAAGAACCTCCTGTGACCAGTGGTGTGGCGGACGTGGTGACGAGTATGCTTTCCGAAATGCGGACATGATGTCACCAATGAAAATGTCCGATGGGAAGAAACAAGAGTTTCTCAGCTAGGCGCGAGAAACTTATTGTAATCTTTTGCGGAGCGTACTTTCTGCTCTCAACACGGTTCACCATCCATTCACTAATGATTCATTTTCTTATTGAACAAGAATCTCACATAGGTTGAACCTATAGAAGACTCCTGTGAGTGATGGGTTCCCTATAAACAAAGCGGTAATTGTTGACATGAGTTTTCTGAACTGGACGGACCAGGGGTTGATTAACATGTGAATGCCTGTTTTTACAGCCAGCGCAGACAACCCCATGCACTTCAAGGACATGGGTCAACTTCACTAGCGAAACTGGACATGGGTCAACTCTCGCAAAGAAACATAAACCGATCATGTTTTTACAGCATATACAGAATATAATGCGATCGGCGATGATAAGAAAGATCAAGGACAATTGCCATTTTGCGGCTGCTGTTTGCCGTTTGCAAATGCAAGGGTTCCTTTCCTCGTCCGAGCGGTTCGCAGGTGGTGGGGCTTCCTGAACAGGATGTTCCACCGCTCTGGCTGGTGAGGAGCCAGGAACTTGGGCGGTGACCAGCCAGACCGAGCAGAATCCGAAAACTGGACTAGTGGGCATGAATGAATTAGGTGGGTCATGTAAAATTGGAGGTGCATGGATTTGAAGTATTACGGGAAATTAAGGGTCATGGCATGAATTCGTTGGAGGGACGAGCCATTCGCTTCGTGAAAGCCATCCCTCAGTTTGCAGTGAAAGGTATAGTTCTTGTGGCTGTTTCTCTCGACTAGATTCTGCCACTCTTACGCCAAGGAGAGGCCAGCAGCGCGGTATGAATGTTGGGTGATGTTGGTGTTAGATGGGATGGTACTTTGGGTACCTTGCACACCTTTGCCATAATATATACTGTATATATATACACATAATACACTCCCCGAAATAGTCATGGAAGCGGAAAACAAAACACCTGTTCACTGGGAAAATGCTCATCCAAGGGGCCGTGCCATCCACTTTCATGATTAGTTCATGAAATATAATAGTTACTTTATATATGCTATACATGTTTTACAGGTTCCTTGATTCATCGAGTGTAACGATGGGAATCCAGTTCGTGCCAGGCATGGCACCCGTGTCGAATGCATCGCACAGGTGCCGTGCCTGGCAAAGCCATGGCTTGGATGTGGCAGGCTGGGGGCGAAATCGAAAGGGCCGCAAGGGCTGGATGGGGATGTCGTGTTCCAGCTTCACAGGAATCTCAGGAACAGATTGCAATTTGAACCTCTGAAGACAGATCAACCGCCGCAGCACTTTTTGTAAAAAGATGTGACCTGATCCTATCTCCACAGGCTTCGCTCCATTGAACAGAACCCGCCATTGAACACAGAAGAGATGCGTTCAAGGCTATTGTTCTTGGGCGGGTTGTGATTGTTGTTGTTGTTGTGGTGGTGGTTGTCGTCGTATGTCGTCGTATGTCGTCGTGGTTGTTGTCATGGTTGTGGTTGTTTGGCACACTTCCTTACACTTTTATACACTCTTCACGTCAAGAAGCCTCAACAAGGTTGGAAGATGTTGCCCTTTTGGTTTTCTGGGAATGTCCATGTTGGTCAACCAGATCTGCAGATAATTACTTATAACGACAACGACATAATAACCAAAGATTTAGTCTGGAGTTGGAGCCTACAGAAGACTCATAGAAGACTCAAGGACCCTCCTTTTCTTTGCCTCCCAGCTTCCCCATCCATACGCCGCACCCTTTTGCTGTGCCAGGGCCAAGCCCTGCCATCTCAAACACCGCAGGCCGTGCAGGAGGTGCAGCTGGGAAAGCGTAACAATGGCCTCCAACATAATATAAACATAACATACCCCTATAGAAAACACCACGTCGAGAACAGGACTTTAAGGATCTTTAAGGAACCTAATAGCTATGGCCTCCAACCCAATAGCGATCCTCGAAACTGCAGTTGGAGCACAGATGTCACACTTTTGTGAGCTTCTCCCGAGGTTGATTTGGCGTCGGATATTCGACAGAGCCCTCACCAACCTTCAACTCTCAAGTCAAATGGTCAATGAAATTGAGTAGAGTACAAGGAAGACCTCCTTAGGATCCGAGGTGGATAGTGAGGTGATCTCCATCCGCAAAACCAACTTTTTGCCAAAAGAGTTTTGACCCTAGCCGCATGGACGTTCCACAGAGACAACCTGGCTGCCCCTTCCTTGTTAAATGCACCATTTATATATATATATATACAATTATATACATATATCTGACCTGCTTTTAAAGAAGTTGAAAAGTTGATTTCCAAAAAATATTGATTCCCAGGGTTCCCACACCGGGTCCCGCACCTGTTCCAACACCACCCAGGGTTCCCACACTAACCAGAATTCCCAGCAACAAACGGAAGGGCAGAGCACAGAAAGGGTTTTGCAAATCCTATTCTACTGACTCTGACTGGGCCAAGGCCCAGGACTTTCGTGGAACCTGGCCTCATTCACGGACCATTCAATTTTAGTGGAAGGGTGGACCCTTTTGAAACCTTTCAAAGCTTCTTGGAAGGTATTTTGGAGGTACTCGTGAAGCAGTGCTTGCTGACACCCTTTCCGTACACACACCCTGCATTTTGGATTTCCCAGGAAGGAGCAGGTTTCCAAGCTTTTCATCATGGGGATGGTCGGTGCCAGGTGGAACCTTGAAAGAATCACCAAAAAATATTACCTGCTTTTAAAGAAAACAGTGATCTACCAGGCTGCGACCGTCGCAACCTCTTAGAACAGTCACTAGCGCTAGCGATGGTTCTAGTGGAGTTTTCACTTCGCCGGAGCAGCCTCTAAGTACCGACGGTCGCAAAAACTTTCTGCGAAGGACAGTGTTTTGAGTCAGGTCCAGCGAAATCAGGACCCCCCCTGAGCGTCTCACTAGCGCTAGCGATGGTTTTAGGAGGGGGCGACCGTCGCACTCTGTTAAATCAGTGTTTTCCTTAAATGCAGGTAATATTTTTTGGTGTATTTTTTCTGTGCAAACCCCCCTCGAGGAGCACTAGCGCTAGCGACGGTTAATCATTTATTGTCTTTCTGCAAAGGGCCGCCGACGAGCGTCTCACTAGCGCTAGCGATGGTTATATATGCAATGTCTTTTCAGCAAAGGACCTCCCGACGAGCGTCTCACTAGCGCTAGCGATGGTTTAATTATGTATTGTTTTTTTCAGAAAAGGACCTCCCGACGAGCGTCTCACTAGCGCTAGCGATGGTTTAATTATGTAGTGTTTTTCTGCAAAGGACTCCCCGACGAGCGTCTCACTAGCGCTAGCGATGGTTTGATTCTAGGGTGCCGCAAGCGTTTGAAGCTGTCAGGTTGGAAGCTCGTGATTGAACATGGAAAGTAATATTTGTTCAAAATCAACTTATCAACTTCTATAAAAGCAGGCCAGATATTCAATGATGTCCATATGATGTGGCCCTTCCCTTCCTCATTGACAAGTGCTACTCTCCGACACATAGATGTTGCATAATTGTTAAACAATTACCTCCTCAGAAGGTATTCGGACCCTCTAAACCCACCCCAAACACCTTCTTAGAAGGTACTTGGAGCCCTAGGGATTATACTTTCCTTGTTTTCGCCAGGCGGCGAAGCAATCTGTGCGGATGTCGGAAAGCGTGGCAGAGGCTGGACACAACCAGGGTGACTCAGAAGGGACTTGGAGGTCCCAAGCGGTCTAATGGAGACGTCCCACCAGTTGCCACCGCAGCTGATGTTTGCAGAGCTGGTCGAATCTCAGAGGCACCAAAAGATTCGACCTCTGGTGGGGTCTCACAACTTGCTTGCCGCCAAAGTGATTCAAGAAAGTTTTCCAAATACCAAAAACAATATGTATACTGTGTATATATATATATACACACACTTTGGTAAATTTGAACGATTTGGGTCGCCCATGATGACCGGTCGATAGGAAGGCTCAGTTGGCAGAGCACCGCGAAGTGACCGCGAAAGCTGCACACCCTTGCGTTGCGCCAGGGGAGATCGGAGGAGTGTGTTGAGTCCATCCTGCCAAAAACGGGCCAAGACCGATGCGGATCACTGGAGTAGTTTGCCTGTTCTTAGTATACAGCATGCGTGCGATGCATGGGTGTGCGATGCATGGGTGTACAGTTTCAGAGATGGCACAAACCTCAAGACGTCGTTTAGATGGGAGTCCATATAAACCTCCCTTTAGGCTTTGTGCCATCTACTCAAAAGCCAATATAACTTATATTATACCTAAAATATGTCCATCGTTTCTGGAGACTCAATGATTCGCCAGGTCGTCGTTCGAACCATTCAGCGCTACTATGCTGTACAGGCGCTTTGGGGTCAGCCGATCTGAGGGAGGTCAGAGGAATGCCCCAAGTGGGTACGTGGGTGACCACATCACTTGTCCAATCTTGACGGTCTTGGCATCACATGTGGTCACACGCGGGCCAAAGCAGTGGTCACATGTCTCACAGCTCGGCACGCACGCAATGCATCGAGCAAATTGCCCTGAACGAATCATGAATGATGGACGACTGCATTGTTGCTACATGGTTTCAGAGTAGATGGCACAACCCTCTACATGTCATTACATGTCATGACATGTTTGGAAAAAAGACTCCTGGAATCGCATTTCTCGACACACCCAGGTCTTGGAACCCTCAACGAGGGGATTCCTGCCAGGGCCTCAGGATGCCTCAGGTGTATTGGGTGAGGTACCTGGTTCATCCAATGGACTACCCTACACTACTTAGAGATGTCCATTGGACACCCAGACAGGATGGTCCAGGTAGAAATGGATTAATGAATCCTCACCAATTTGCCTTGTAACACCTCTTCATGTGGGGTGTTTATGAATCACAATTCTACATTACTGACCTTGGTTGCGGAAGCGGCAAGTTGTTGCGGAAGGTGTTCTTGTCAGTTGAACCTTTGGACGGCGAAATGAAGCGCTCAACGACCGCATGGAGCATCTCCCCCATGACACTCCATGCAAGGAATATATATATATATACATTGTATACATGTATGACCGCTGAAACGACCCCAACTACTGATCGGCCAATATTCCAGTCCCATTTGGCTCTTCGGGTTTAACTGGAGCATGGCCCATGGCGCCCATGCCGCGGACGGCTCGGCTCGTCGACCGACAGGTCGATCTTGGAGAAGCAGTTCGCCCGCAGGGCGACCAAGGGCGAAGCTGGGCGAAGATCCTGAAGAGTGAGCTTGGTTTGATGTGTGTCTTTAGCCTTTTCGTCGAATGTTCGAACATTTCAGGTGCACCGAATGCAAAGCAGTCATAAAGGATTGACCCTCCAGGGAATAAATTCTATAGAATAGAGAACTCGAGGTCCAAAAGACCAGGGCATTTTATAGGGGACCATGTGGTAACGTTTTGCTATAGAATGCCGTTTTGCTATAGAATGTAAATAACATGGACATACACGGACACTATAATGAGTCTTATTGTTCGCCTCTCAATCTAGCCATGGCCTGGATTTATATTTTATAGATACTTTTTGTGGTCACGGTTTACATGAGGCGCGGCAAAACCATGTTTTACATGTTATTTTATTGGTTTGTTCATTTTATAGTGAGCTTGGTTTAGATGTCTACGTTTTGATTTTATAGGTTTTGATGTTTTGTTGGGAATGCAACAGTCTACTGCCAGGTCATGTTTTACATATTATTGGGTCTTGATTTTGTGTCCCGCTTTTCCATGTACACTTAGATGGGTCTCCCTGGGCCTTTGGTTTTGTAGTATTTTCTGTGGTGCACCGTGGCTACAAAGGCTGAGTTATGACTATAACTAAAATGCCAGGCCCAAACCTGACCCGTAATCCCCAAGGGGATAATAGATATTGTATATGTATATTATACATATTATACAGTATGTATACGGTATATATTTTACAGTATGTGTACAGTATATATATATGAATATGAGTCGTTATACATGGCTCAGATTTTTTGGGGAGTTTCCCGGATTGTTGTCAATTTCCAGGATCCGACCTTTATCTCTTCGAAGTCTTGCAGAATGCCGTGCCTTGGATGATGGACGTCATGCGATCGGTGTCCGTGCCGTGCCGCCGGTTGCGCCGATCGACGGAGTCAGCACCTTCTTGAGCAATGTGCAACACGGTGTCACGCTGAGAGCGGCTGGCAGCGAGGTGGATGATGGTGCCTTGCAAGTGTTCCACACTCAGTTGAGATGAGGCAAGTAGTTAGGCAAGTGCATCGGCGTCCATAGGCATAGGCAGTGCCTTTGTTTGGGGACGCTGTCCTTGGGGTCCAGGTGTTTCGAGCCGAATCAACGTGGCCTGGCTGTGAAGCACGATGGGAGGCTATACCGCCACCGCTTTGCTGAGATTGATTGTGTGGATGAGGTACTTTGGTTGCTTAATGATCTTCATTTGCTTGTTGTTTGGAACTAAATTCTTCAAAGAATGCCACTGGACATTTGTTGACCAGGAGGAATCAACAAATATGGTTTCGCGGGTGACAGTGTTAACGTTGGCCATGATTATCCATGATTAAAGTCTTGTTGGAGGGCTTTCGGCTCACACACACAATCACACACATATAAATATATTTGTTTTTGTTATTTATGGTGTGTGTGCACACAGAGCCCGAGTGACCTTTATTTTGGGCCACTGACCCATCATCCAAATATACCTGGAGCAGGTATGCAAATGCAACAGATGGCGCAACCTTTGTGCTTTGGACCTGCACCTGGCGCAACAGAATTGACAAATCCTGCAAACTGATTCACTCATGCCTACTTTTTCAATCATGTTTGCTACAGATGGTTTACTTTGCCACAAAACCTAACAGAACACCTGCAATCTCCAAACTTGTGTCAAAATATGCCAAGCAGATTGGCCAACGGGTTTGCACCTGGCAAGGGGGGCAAAACCCGTTTTGGGCCATGGATGGCTTCAAATGGGAATGAGCAGGCTGTCACAGGCCTGAGCAAAAACTGCTCCGGAAAAAAGCCGGCAACAACATGAACACGCCCTTTGCGACTCTCAAGAGTCAAAACCTGCCGGTGGACGGAAAAAGGAACCTTTTTGAGTCCGAGGCTATGATTTTTTGCAATTTAGATCTTCTAGGTATGTCGGGCATTTGCGGGAATATGGCGGAAACAGTGGCGGAAACTTGCGGACGGAACATTCAAGGCATACATTGGACACCTCACGCAAACACTTCAGCTGAAGCTGAAGCCTCGGCAGACACCTGAGAACAGAATAGACGGAATAGATCACCGTGTATTTCTTGTCCAAGTCTGCTTCTATGGGGACGCCGCGGACGCCCCATCACTGCACATGTCATTTGGGTAATATAATGTTTAGTCTACCATGGCACTTTCTCCCGCGTTTTGAAATATCGCACTGAATCGGGTGGTCCAGGTATCGAAACCCAATACCTCCCTAAAGCTCAGGGTTTTGGCGACACAATTCCGCTCGAACCACAAGCATGGCCCTGCATCACCTGGGAGGCGCTTCACCGCGCTGGATGTCCTTGGACTCTCATCCGTGGGCTTGTCTACCAAGGCACGAACGTGGGGAATTCTGGGGGGCCGGAAGTGACGAGAAGGAAAAGGCATCCTGTTTTGCTTCTGAAGATGCTGGGTGACACTTGTGCCCCTGTTGCTTGGTGATGCAGATAGGCAATAGCTGAAAGGCAGCTGAACATTCTCATCAGGGGGATTGAAACCATATAACACTTGGAACTTGGGCAACGTCAGACAAGAAGATGTGCACATTTGCAAAATGTTTGTCCCACCTTTCACCTGCCAGGGTGATGGGCAAAAACGGACCATTGGCCGGAGCGCCCAGCTATGAGCATCCACGGAAGCGCCAATGTTGGACTGCAATACTTCAAAGCTTCGACTACAAACTCCTTAGGGCATTTCTTGTAAGTCGCTGGAGGTTTCATGGGCATTGGCTTCAAAGCGGTGTACAAGCGCTACGCGCGAGTGGTGATTCACGATCAGCTCAGCCCTGAGAGAGCTTGAAGAGAACTATTGGCCTGTTTGGCCTTTCACTGCTCAGTTTCCCAACCGACTTGCTGATTTCTCGCGCTTTTCAAATCCGTTGCCTTCCACATCCCCAGATCGCTCGCCACTGCCTGCCGCGGCCATCAGACTTAGATGCGTAGATCCCCCGGCCGCGTGGTCCCTCGAGTCCCACACCTACACCAGCATCACCGCCCCGCAAAATGCCTCGTGGGCGTGATAGCCGCGCCCGGGGCGGGCGCTCGCGCGACTCCCGGCGGCGCAGCCCCTCGCGCCGCGGCGGCGGCGGCGGTGGTGGCGGTGGCGGCGGCGGGCGCCGGGGACGGAGCAGAAGCGGCGATCGCTCGTGGCGTGACCGCCCACGCAGCCCTGTGAGCCGCCGCTGGGTGGGGAAGCTGGGGGCAGATGGGCACAGGGAAAGAAGAACGGCGTCGGATGGCTCAGCTTGGGCGGGCCAGTATTTTGGGAATTTGTCATCATGAAACCATGAATGACGTTGCAGGTATGTTTTGGGTCGATCATTTAGATCATTTAGTTTGGTGGAAAATTGCGTGAATTGCGCAGCAGAGGTGTCCAGACAATTATATTATGCCTGACTGTTCAAAGGTCCTTCATTCAGGCCATGTCAATGGTTGTGGGAATCGGTTTGTCTATAATTGTCTATATGTTGTTTGCCCAATTTCCTTCAATCGTAAGTCGTTGGCAAAACAGTTTGCCCTTGTTGCACCTCCGGGCTTCAGGCTTCATCCGATCCTGCAGCTAGAATAATTGCAGACTCCATTGTCTCCCGGTGGTGCCTAAAGACAAAACGACGTTTCTGAGCTGATCCCGAACTCTTTCCATTTCATTCCGATCATGTGCCTTTGATTGAGAACGGCCCCCAATTTCTACGTCGAAGGATTGAGGACATTGACATTGACTTTAGGCACCTTTCTGTTGCAAAGAGGTTAGGGTCCGTCCACGGGACCCACCCCACGGACGGGGGGGCCATCTACGTGCCATCTACGGACGGCAGTGCCGGTGCCGCACCAAGGCTACAGCCCTCCCCCCCCGCAGCCGCTCGCGCCGCTCCGGCGGACGCCGGGATGACCGTCGCGACGACCGCCGGGACGACCGGCGGGCAGATCCCAAGAAGAAGAGCGTCCAGGACACCGAAGTCAAGTAGAGCATTGACCGATTATATAGAACATTATAGAATACATATAGAACACGATCATCTAATGCAATCTGAGGATATCTGAGGTGGTTTAATGATGTATCAATTAACATATTGTCATCAAGTTCAGTTCACCCTTTTTGTGTCAGAAAAGGGCGTGGTTTTATCATTTTTCGAGTAAGTATTCTTGAACCTGGTGTCATTCAGGCTATAGGTGCCGTAGAGCCGGAGTTCTGTAGGTTCAGCGCTCGAAACAAGGCTTGGCCTCACCGTCGGCCAAATGAACACTTCCATAGACAAACGACTCTTCAAGGCCCGACTGCGTGGATGGACCAAGTAAGACCATTTATATATATATATAGTGACTTGAAGAGCCATGGAAGGCCATCAAAAGGCCTTTAGTTTCTCATGAAATTCCCTGCAGAATCCTGCATGTCTGAGTTCCTGTAGGATGCTTTCGATAAGCGGTACCATCGAATCTTTGGGTGGCTGGGTTGACCTAGTTTGCCCAAAACATGGATGTTTGATTGTTGATTTGTTGGGCTGTTACTTTGATGTCACACTCCTGCTCACCTACAGACAGACAGAACTTCAGAAAGATGTTGACGATGCTCAGCACAGATCCCCAAATCGGAGAGATTCTGTATACAACCTCTGTGAGCGTTCTTTGAAGGCAGCGGCACAACCGGCCTGCAGGAGAAGCGCATCCCACCACCCGCAGTGAGGGGTCCAGACAAGCCACAAATTACAGAGGAACAGAGAGCCAACAGTGTGGAGTACAATGGATCCTCATTTGCAGAAGATGATAGAGGTTTGTGTTTCCTTGGATCCATTGATTCCTTGAATCCATTCGATTGGTTCATTTGCTTTGTGTTTCCTTCGAATTCTATGCGCCAACTGCCTTTTGGTTGGCGCACCGCTCGCGTCTCATATCGCGCAACTGAGGATATTACTATGCCACCTTAGACTTCACGCCTCCAAATCAAGGTGGTGATTCCGCCGGGCAGAAGACGCGCATCCAGATGCCCTATGGTTGGGAGGTGGCCGACATCACGGACGACGTGCGCGATGCGGTCGTGAGGCTTCACACCTTCGGGACAGACTTCGTGGTGGGGGAGAGTGGCAAAGCCTTCCATACTGCCAAGGGCCAAAGGCCAGGAGCTCTTGAGATGATTTGGGACTATAAGAGCCTCGCCTGCGGAGTTTGGGTGGGTCCCCGAGTCCCCCACACAAACGGCCCATGGTCACCCCCCCAGTGTTTGTTTTGGTCACTGTTTGTTTCATGTGTTTTGTTTTGTATTTTTGTTTGATTGCTTCGCCGTTGCGGCTTTTGAAATGGGTGTGAATTGAATGTGTTTTCGTGTGCCTGATGGGGGTCCACTAAGCCGAGATCATTTGAGTGCCAAAGTGGCCGTTTGAGGATGCTTGGGGTCATATTAATTAGGTTTGTGACAGTTGATTACATCAGGAACTCCCAAAAGGTCCCCTTGAAGAATCTGGAACAGAAAGAGGTCGCCGAAATGAGTCACGCAACAAACAGATCGAGCAGCGCCGGACCGAGGAAAGACATGGGTATGTATAATTTGCATCAGGACGGGCGTTTGTGACCAGGTTGGGCACACCAGCGGTGATGTTTTCAGGCAACGGACCGGGAAACTGGACCCCGGACCATGGGTAAGCAAGGGTGAAGTTGGGGGTGCTGTCAGTGAATTCTGGGGGCTTCAGCTTAGAGTGCTCTTAGGTTGGAGGCCATCGCTCTTAGGTTGGAAGAAAGCGTAGGTCTTTTGTGAAAAGCAGCCAAACATTCCAGCCACGCTTCTGGTCCTGGTGGTTTGCACGGTAAATTTGATAATCGGCTGATTTTAGCGACAGGAACTGAAAAAGAACCGTCACCGGGCCTGTTTTAATGAATTCAAGCAGTGTGGCACCGCAAACATGGCTTTGTGAATTTCAATCTGAATGACCTCTCTGTGTGTGGCATGAAGTAAGCCAACGGAAGAAAGCCACGGACCATTCTGGTCAAGTCTGGAATGCTTAGTTACGAGTTGGGGAAGTTGGGGTTGGTTAGATTCTAGATGCTATGCATCAAGTCCATCGAGTGATCAACATATTCCTTGCCCTTCCATACTGGGCTATTGCAAGCGTTGGCACTCTGCACTCCGCAGCTGTCGCTTGAGTAGCCTGGATTTGTTAGAAGACCTGAGTCAGGGATCCGGCTCGCGCAGAGAAACCGATGCAACCAAGCCCTTCCAACCAACCAATCTTCACACATTTACAAGCATTTGACCGACAATATGGCGATAGGGTGAGTGTGATGAGTGGCTACATCACTGTTTTGGTCCTCCTTTTTGCCCGCCTCCCCGTCGGACGCGTCTCCAAGAGGGCTTTGGCCCTGGTCTTCCAATCAGGACGGAAGCCTTGCCGCCAAGAACGCCCGGATTCTGATTAGAATCGCTGTCCCCAAGGTCTGAGACGCGGGCTTTGCACGTGTGCGCGGGCAGGCCTGCAGAAAGAAGACACATTATATGTCATCAAAGAGGACCTAGACTATACTATACAGAGGTCTCCTTTGTTGAATGATGTTGAAATTGCATCCAACTCCAGTTCAACAGCTGAGCATTTCCAGCTGGCTCGAAGATAAACTCATTTGACGTAGCCGCTGCAGATTGGACACGCAGGTGTGCCCAGACTTGTCTGGTTTTGATCTGGCACCTGATCCTGAGATCAGCTAGATTGTGCCTCAAAAGACTCAAAATGCTGGGCTGCAGCAGAACGAATCCCCCATGGCAGGATGACACGCATGGCTGACAACTTGTAATGCCTCATGCAAAAGGCTGCAAAGGCACCCAGTGCGAGGAGAGTGAATAACTCACTTTCAAATATGGTTGTCCCCATACCCATCCTATACGAAAGACAGAGACTCGGCGTGCCACGGACTGTGCTTGTAAAAAAGTGTGAAGAGCATGAGTTCACCAGAAAGGAATAACCCCACTGCCCCATATTGCCCCAAAAGACGGATCTCATCTCTAGCTCCATCAACTTTGGAAGTATCTACAGACTGCATAAAGCAGTGAATTTGTGGCTGTCATGTGTTTCTTTTTTGCTGCACGGGAACTAACTCAGTGAAGGAGCAGTGCACCGCATTTGCGTTTGCGACTGCACTCTGACGAACACATCACATGAAAGTGGATGGCATGGTCCCTGGGAAGACGGCTGTAGAAAGCAGAGGCTTTCCACTTCCATGTGATGTGTTCGTCAGAGTGCTCGCTGTCGGAGCTTGAGGCTCTGGCGATTTACCTTTGAGGAGCTGCCAGGCTGCGCAGTTAGGAGGAAAGAGTTGGTTGGGGAAGTTGGCAGACCGATCGAGCGGGGAAAGATTTGTTTGGAAGGTAGAGTTGAAATTTTTGTCACGCCTGACCACTTGTCATGGTTGGGGGATCAGTATGGTATTCGTCATGGATTCGTCATCCTTCCAGCCCCTCCCCATAGCGGTCGGAAGAGTTCGACCTGGTAATGGAATCTTTTGACAAACGAGTCTGGTTTTGTTGTAATCTCATGTTCACCTCTGCGACACCTTCAAAACTGCCCAGGTGGAGCTGGCCAGGCGTTTTCCCGCTTTCTTTCCGCAAGACAAGTTGAGTTGTATGTGGAAGTGTGTTGTGTTCCATGTGTTTGTTTGTTGTTGTTTTATGTTGTTTTCAATTGTTGGATGTGTGTTTGTTGCTCCATGTGTGTTATGTGTTTTCAATGTTTATTTCAATGTTTTTGCATGATTTTGCATATTTTGCGCAAACACATCAAGCAATGTCACCACATGGATGGATACTTGTTGAAGCATGTTGAAGCACCCGGCAGATGTCGTTATGTGTGGTGACAAATGCTAAGGGATCAGGAAGATCAGAAGAGCCAAGTGTGGGAAGGGTGAAATGTCTAACGTTCGCATCTTCACACGAGCGCTCCAATGGAAACCATTTGTGGATTTCAGCTTTCTTCAAATTTGGTCGCCATCAAATACGATGTCTGCTTTGATGGAGCATCTTCTCGATCATCGTGGTCGCCTCCCCGTGGCGCTGACTCCAACTGGAGCCTGCTAGATTGACCCTTCATGAACTTGTAGGAGACTATCTTAGAGCTGAGTGGTGCAGTGGGTGGTAGGTCCGTACATTCAATGTTCATTCTGGTCCTCGAACTGCTGCAAGGCCGGCTCGACCTACGGCTGGGTCTTACAGCCACGCTGGGAACATCCCGAGGCCCAGAGAATCCCAGAGATGCCAACGCTACATTGCTGATATGATCTGATATGGTTTCATAGTAGATGGCACAAACCCCAGATGTCTTTTATATAGGGATCCATCTAAACCACCTCCTAAGAGATTGCGCCAACACCCCTATGTGCAGGGTGTGCATGAATGACCCTTTGAGCTGAAAGGGTCTCTATGAACATCTATGAACGAACCTTTGGACAATTCCGTGACGTATGACGAGCCCTGAAACATACGGTATACTGTTACATATATGTATACATACATACCATACCATACCATACCATACGTTACCATACCATACCATACCATTACAAAACAATGCAATTATATACATTCCGTTCCGTTACGTTACGTTAACACATACATACATAAATATACATACATGCGTACGTACATAGATAGATGGATAGTTAGATGGATAGATACATAGTGAATGTGTTCTTGGTTTGGTTGCTTCTCAGTGTGATGATCAGACGCCTGGTGACCGTTGAGAATGATGGTTTTCGCTTCGCGCCGACGGAAGAGACGCTCGTGACGAGGCACTTTGGGATCCTCGCGGCTCGCCGACCTTTCCATGGTGTCACTTCCAATTGGAACGACCCAGGGAGGCGGGGTGCTGCGACCCTGTGGTCGTCGCAACTGGTCTGGTGTGGTGGTCCTGGTCGGGTGCGTTGGCCATTTGTCCTACACTCCTTGGAATCATAATGGTTACGTGGCAAACCGCCAGCAGTTTGGTCTTCGGAACATGGTCCTCCAAAATTCGGGCTATGGTCCGGAGCGTAATTTGGTACATCCGTGTATAGTATATAGCATTCATTCAGGGAGCGCCTCACCTGCCAGGGCTTCGCTGGAGTGACCAAGGACCTGGCGCGGCTGCCAGAGAGCGTCCCTGGCCTGCTCGGAAGGAGAATTGCGCCGGACACACGCACGCGTGGCACATAGGGTGTTGATGGGTGTAGCACAACGAACTGCAGCACTGCAGAACGATGTGGCAACGAAGATGTCCGAGATAAGTCAAATCTGTTCCACCATTTTTCCCAGCATCCTTGGAAGCACGTTTCATATCGTTTCATTGGCTCTAATTAAGCTGCATAATTCCCAAATCAGCAGGAAAGCGTTGCGGGATGCGGCACGACGTGGAGCTGAAGCCATGTGGGGGGGGCTCAGAGTTTGCCGGACATCGGAGTGCCAAGCAATTTCCGGACATCGGAATCGATGGAGGACGATCCACATCGGCCGAAAGAGAAAGGGCCCAAAAGCAGCGGTTCCTATGTTGGGAGGAAATCCTGTGCGGCACTGAGGTTGAAGCAGATGAGTGGACGGAAAGATAGCAGGACGCTCGGGTGAACGGGATCTGCCGGCGGCGCCTCAGCCGGGATCAGTAAGCGGCGGCTTAAGCGGATGTGGCAGTGGCCAGACACATGATCGGATGGGCGTTTGGGATGTTTGAATTCTTTGGAACTCCAACACCTTTTTTGTAGTGCGGGAAATGATATCCAATGACTAATGACGAATGACCCATTTTACCCGTATGGTAGTGGATGATGACATGCAGGTGGGGTAAAAGGAGTCATTGGAAATTCTGGGATGCCGCGCTTGTGATTTTGGGGTATGTATGCAATATATGGTTGGAGGCCATTGCCATTGCTGGTTGGAGGCCATCGCTAGTAGCAATTACAGTAGTAATCCTTTGCTCCTACTGTAATTCGGTGATTCTATGGGCGTTTGATGCCAAGCACGGGAGTCACCGGCCGGCCCCGTCAGGGCAGCAGATGCGCTACACTACTGGTGCTTGGAGGCGTGGAATTTTTGGTGGAGCGAAGAAAGCTGCTGGACTCAGACGAACCCTCATGAAGTGACCAATGATGTTGGATCCTGAGTTATCAAGCTGATGGGGGGTAGTGACGTGGATCAATCAAGATGCCACTGCTGAACTAGAATGAACTAGGGGTTCAAGGGACTTGGCCAGAGGAAAAGCTTCCTTGCCCCACGTCAGGTGCAGCGTGCATGGGGCAACCTGGTGCCCGAACTTTTGCACAGGCCGGGACTGAACGATGGTCAGTCTAGAGTTGGAATGGAGAGCCTGCGTGGCACAGTTCCCATCAGTTGCCTCCATGTTTGACAGTTTGGAACCAAGCACTGCAGACCCATCGGAAAAAGAGCGAAGCTTGGCACCAACAGGACCTCCGGTGCTTCGAAAGCGGACCGTACCAGGCCACTTTCTCAAATGCTTCCCCTCCTTGGACGGGAGAGAAAGGTGGGCCGCAGAGACCGTACAAGTCTCCTTACAAGTCGCGGTATCAGGCGGGATGAAGGCATACTGTATTGCTTGGGACAGAAATCCCGGTCCCAACCCAAAACTACCAAGTAGTAACAAGGTGAAGGGAGTACAGTGAGAACAAACTGGCTCTACCTAGAGGATTTGTTGAGTCGGAGTGGCAACTCGAGACCTTTCAATTCCAGTCCCGTTCCACCGATTCTATTTGCTGAGACGTTCAGGCGGTGGAATTCTGCAGTTCTGACCTTTGGTATGCTGGTTATGAGAGTCGCCAGCAAATTCACCTAAGGGTTGACAGGAGGTCAAGTGTGGACACTGCAAGAATTTGTGTTAGGCTTTCCGACCAAGAAAGACCAAGTGAGTGACCAAGTGGTATAAGTACATAGATTTCATCGAGGGGACATGAGGAGCAAAGTGTTTTGTGTCTTCAACATGGTTTTTCCTCAATCCGAGAGATGTGTTTGCTGTTCTGTTTGGAAGCTATTGCACTCCACGCGCACCTCTTGCCAGGAGCAGATTTGGGAACGCTGCAAGGCGCACAGCCGAGCGCAGCCGTCCTGACGCGCCGACATCGGTGTCGGCCCCGACGCGACGCCACGGTGGACGCCAAGAGCCATTGTTGCAGACCAGATGGCCTTTGATTCCGAGTCCGGAGAGTCCTTTTTTTCAGAGTTTTGCCGGGTATTCCAGGCAGGCTCCAGAATAGGTACAGTATATTATTGGATTTATTGGTGGTTCCATTGGAGAAAGGACATAGTAGAGTCGCCAGAGATGTAATGTATCTTAGGTGACGTGGTGGAATCGTCCTCCATGTCTGTGGCATTCTCTTTCCATTTTTCGGAGCGCCTTCACCACACAGTCCTGTCGCTACGTCCTCCAAACCGCAGGCCACTGCCCTGCAAGAGGTGGAAGCGGCTTTAAGCTTGCCTGAGCGCCTTGAGGAGAGGGCATGAGGTCAAGGGGATGCAGCCACTCTCGGTCAATATTGTGAGCAAGTGGATTTGGAACATGAAGTTGCCTCGCACGATCTTCTAGGTCCCTTGCATGAGTGATTTTCTCGATTCCCCTAAGCCAATCCAAGCGGTGGGTGTTCTGCTACTTGTTTGAGGTGTGAGCCTGCGCTGTTGCGTCAAAACATCCAGATACCCAGATACCTCACCAAACAGGTTCAACATATTCCCTAACACATTTACCACAGTTGGGAATTTGACCGTACTTCCTAACTCACCAATAGTATATAATTAATGCGGGCAGCGTTAGGAAATTAATTGGAGGTACCTACTGAGTTCAATTTTTTTAAATTAATTTCTGAAATTCAACCTATTATATATAACAGGATTGCTGACAATGATGAATATTAATTTTGGCAAACTTCAGTTCCTGGAGGGGTCCTGGATTAATTTCTATTCTGGCTCGTGGTTGTTCGCGTGCGGTTGCCGATGCGTATTGTGGATTCTCCTGGAACCGCGGCCATGGGAGATCAGTTGTTTAATACTGGGGGGGTTTGCAACAACTCAACGACCTGCCAATTAATTTCATACAGTCTATGTCAGGATTATCAATTCAATACACACATGCGTGCGCCTGCCCAGCTACAAACGCAGAAACGCAGGGCGAGAAAAAGTGCGAAATTAATTGAAGGGTGTTTCAGATGTGCATGACTCTGCAGTTAATTCTTGGCTTGATGTGCAGGCTGGCCAGATTAATTTAGAGACTTGCTACTCTAGGTACTCCTAATTAATAATATCAGAGATCTTCCTTAATTAATTGATATTAGAGGGAGGGGGCACTGGTAGTTCTTGAAGAAAATCAATTTGCTTTTAGTATAACGTGATTAAATAACTGAGGTCCCAATCAATTAACTATTTTTATTAACTCACTAGTACCCCCAGTTACCCCCCCTGCCAACGCACGGCGCATTATAGTTACTATCCTATGTTCATTTGTGGTGACTGTTGCTTGAAGCTTCCTCAGCAACATTGGAATCCACAGGGCCGTGGGCCATGTCGAGCCGGCTTTGAGAAGTTCGCATGTTTATTTTTGCTTCGGCTTCGTTGGACACAGCAAAAGGTTTGCAAATCTTGGGATGGGAACCTTTTTCATGGCCAGATGCCAGCAGGCATTGGATGAGACACCAGAAGATCTTACCAGACTTGGTACATGTGACTTGCAGCTTCTTCCAGGAGTATGGCTGGCGGCTGCTAGATGTTCCTGGGCTGGCTGTTTGTTTACCCTCCGACTCGAGGTCAATGATTTCTTGGGTCTTTTCTCTTTTTCCTCCACAGGCAGGTGGTTCCTGGTGGTTCCACTTCCGATGTGTTCGTCGGACTGTAAGGTGACGTAGGTGACACACAGGAGGTAGCCTTTGTCGTTTGTCAGTTTGCAGTAGCAGCCGTGGGGATATGACAAGAGGTTCTTTTTGGGGGTCTACCTAGCCATGAGCAGCATTCAGAACGCCTTGGAAGATCCAACACTTCCATGTGAAGCGCCTTCATTACGATGGCCGATCGCCGTCGCAGAAGAGCGTTGCATTCACGTGCTGGCATGCTCCACCCCCTGGCAAATGATAGGGAACTCACAAAGAAACGCCACCCTTTAAACAAAGTTCCAAGACCATCCAAGACGTTTTAAAACGATTTAAAACGATAAGCGGCTCACAATGCTCACAAATCGGACGATGCAACAGCCGCACCAAATTCAAGTTGACCCTACTGCAAGTGGAACATGACCAAGTCGGTGCCTGTCTTGCTATGTCTTAGCAGCACAAAGGCAAAATAGGTGTATAGCATCGCAATCGCCCAAAAGCATGGTCTTTGGGTCTCAAGTGGGGCACCACGGTTCCCGCCGGTCCGTCAAGCTCCTTCGCCCGAGGCGGCTCAGCAGCCCGTGGGCCCCTACCCTGTGAGCCACCTACGGCATTGGGTCGCGGAGGGCCGACTCAACGGTCAGGCGCAGGTGCGGACAAGCATGAGGACGAGCTCAGAATCAGAGAAGGACATTCTGGAGGGAGACAAGGGGAACATGGGCAGTTGTGTGTTTTTGACCTTGGGATTAGACTTTATATCGACCTCTTTCATCCTGATTCATCCTTCCTTTCTTTAAATCATTTGGGCATGTTTGGGCAGGAGTTAGCACAATGCTAAGTTAGTTAGCACTTGGCGGTCCTCCGCCGAAACTTGGAGGTCCTCGGTGCTGCACTCACGCTAGTGCGGAATTGCATATGTTTAGCATGTTCGGGAGCTGAGCCATGGCAAAAACGGAAGTCCCACAGACTAGCTGGTGCTTAGGAGGGAGCATGAGGATCATGAGGGAGCTCAGGAGCCACGACGATCCAAATTCCCCTTTGAACAATGAGCTGAGAAGCTACGGAGAGTCCCCCAACCGAAGATCCTTTTGATCCAGAGCTGAAGAGCTTGTGGAAGCAAAAGACCGAGGGCATGGTCGAGGGTCTTCATTCACCTTGTCAAACTCCCGGCTTTCTGGATCCTAGAAGGATCAATCGCTCCCATTGAACAAAGAATCCTCATGCTCCATTTAAATTCAATCGTTTGGGACTTCTACTCCCATATTCCAGTCCACATCCGTTGAAGAGTTGAACTCTTTACAGGCTACAGGGCTACTTTCTATATTAGAAAAAGGACTCCTGTTACTGTTTGGCACCCACCCTGTCACCCTGCCCTGTTTGGCTTTGCGATGCTTTTCTTCACCGGTCCCAGTGCGCGCCCGAGCGCGCCCGCAGGTCCGTGGCCGTGGCATGGGCAGCTTTCGAGCGCTGCAGGAGGCGCTGCAGGGGTGTGGTGAAGCCAAGCAGAACAGATCAGAACCCATGTCGGTCCCGAAACCACGTCCTGCAACACCCATGTCGGTTCCCATGAGTCCTGGAAAACATCATGCCCCTTTTTGGCCAAACATGTCCACCTTTGGAGATCTCAGAATGTCACGAACCAACACGTCCAAGAGGCCACATAGAGACACTCCCAAGAGGCCACGAACTGAAGGTCGTAAAAAGCCGGAGTTCCCAAAATGGGGTGGTCATTGATTGTACTCACATTTTTGGGGCCCTAAAAGCACTAGCAGTTCCAAGAAGGCCTTTAGGACTGTTATTTGGTGAGGGGAGGTTGTGGGCACTGTGGGGGTCCCTGCCAGAAGCACCCAAGAAGAGCAGCCAGTCCAACCAGGGACCCCGACAGGCCATTGCTATGAGTCTTGGATTTGCTTGTGCTGAGGGTTCGCGTGTCCGGAGGGATCAGAACATGAGAGAACTTGAAGTCTAAGGCAATCTTTGGCCCATTTGATTCCATCATGTTCCATCCGATCGTTGCCCGGGGGGGCCGGCCTGCTCAGGTGTTTCCACAGGGCACGCCGCCTTTTTCTTCGCCATTGCCCCCAGCATCTTTTAGGCTCGTTCCTTCGTGGTGTGCACTCGTTGCACTCGGGAGCGAGCCAACTTCACAGCTAAACTCCCGAATGAATAGCCAATGATATCATACATGTGCTGTTGTACCATCTTACAATAATCACATCAGAATCATGACGTTTGAACTGAAGCCGGGAAGGTCCAAGGGAATAATCGGAGAATTTATATGGCAGTAGGCAGCACGGCAATCATAGATTTCTGGAATGGTGTGGAAGATTGTGGAAGATCATGTTTCCTCCACATGGGGATTTGCTGAGCTTCCATGATATGGTCTGAGGAGGGTTCTACATGACCATTTTGGATGAAACTGCAGGACAACATACGACATCATACGACAACTCCATGAGCTACTTCACCCCATGTGCTACCTCCATGTGCTACCTCACCCCAACGCCAGGCTCGAGTGGGGCCAGACAGGCGCATGGGGCCGGATGCGTTCGGGTCCGGGGGATCTGCGCATTGGACTTCGAAAAGCGGGCGTTTTCCCATCAAACTCTTGGGGGTGCGAACTCACACGATGCTCGACCCGGATGTGCTTTTGGTTAAGGTTTTGTTCTTGGCATGCTGCATGTCATGAAGACTGAACGAGGGAGGTCTTCTTAGACGTGCGCCGAGAGGATTGGACTGACTTGGTGTCCCCAACCAAGGCCAACTGGCATCTTGAGGTTTTAATGTAGACTCTTGATTAATACATCCCCCAATATGAAGAGGTCTTTCAATAATTCAAATAGGGTGGGATAAGAGTATTATCGAATCCTGAACACCTGCGGACTTGCTCGAGGAAACGGGGTGTCCGTGACGGACCAAACCGTTCGGGTTTGTTGACAGGAGTGCTGGTTGTTTACCGGACGTGACACGTCGGAAGGGTAGTCCAAATGGTTGCTGTTCTGTTGCCTTGTGTCAATGTTTGGGTGAACACCCCACACGTACCCACAAGTTAACTCACCCACCATCCAACTAACCAACCAACAGAACCAATAAATGTTTGTTGGTAATATACATCCGAGACTTACAAAGGCTGACCGGTTGCGGAGGTCATTGCATCTCTCTAGCACGGCAAGTCACCCTCAAAGAGGGCATTGCGGAGGAGGCATGGCGGCCGTGAACTTTGCAATACGGCCATCCATCCAGTCATTGTCATGCCACATGAGCTGCAAACTCAACAGAACAGGTTATTCTGGGTCTCCTGTTGCAATGGTCTCTGGATCTTCCCCGTCAGGTGCATGCGCTGGCCTTATTCTTCCTGACTTTTGGGCACACTGCTGCCTGTTGCACCTGAGATGCTTTACAAAGCAAAACCGACGAGCGGATTTCTATGGAAGCTCCTGATTGTTGGATGCATTTTGACTCATCGGTGGCCCATTTTGACTAATGTCAACCTCGAATCACTGGCAACCCGGTGACCCAGGTGCATCACATCGCGCAAGCGCAAGGTGCATGTCAAGGCCAGGTGTTTTTCGTCAGCCAAGAAGCTGTGAGGCGTTCCCGGCTTTCAAAGAAGCACAGTGGGAAGTGGATCGGACATCTTCGAGTGACTGCTATTGACTAGCTGCTAGTGAGCCAAATGAGCAACACAGGGCCTTCGGATGACCCTCTTACGATGTGTTTTTCTTATAGCTGGTATCTCCTGCTTTTGGGATTTCAATGATGGCCCAGCCGCAGGTTTGGTGCGGTGGCTCTTCCTCTCCATCTCACATGTGCCAAATCAGGAAGCTCGGCAGGCCTATGAAAGGCATGCCAAGAGAGAACAGGCGCCAACTGAACTGATCAAACCGAATTGATGGAGCCAGTCGAAAAAAGGCTCCGTTTTGCGGGCTTGTTTTGAGGTTGTTTTGAGGAGGCCCCCATCCAGCGGATGGTGAATCTATCCTCCACAGGATCCGTTAAGAAGTCCGATGAAGTCATGGGAGTCCAACAGCTGCGAATGTCGCACGTTGCGGCATGGCGGTCGCTCCCGGAGGGCAATGCTGAATGCTTTGTGTTGGCCCGAATGGCCATGGTTGCTCACTGTGGTCTAACTAGTGGTTCCAACGTAAGAGATGGTAAAACAGGCCTGCCTACATGAACCACGATGAATCCAGGTCGCTGGGATGCATGGAAGATAGCTGACTCATGCAGGTGGGCGAAGAAGAAGTTAGCTTGTTCTTTGCTTTGGACTCGGAAGGGAGCAGGGGCCTGAGTGGAGGGGCACATCCGATGTGGCAAAATGGAAGGAGACGCCTTAGACATCAAATTGAGTGCAAGCATATGCAAGCATGCAGCCTGGTCCGCTGACCATATGCAAGTATTCACTTGTTTTGCTTGATTTTCACGAAAGGTAGCTTGAGCTACCTGAGTTCTCCTTGCTTTAGCAAAAATGTATTACAATCAGGAGTTGGGATTGTGCATTGAGTTTGGTCCTGTAAGAGTTGATTCTGTTCGTCGGGGGGGGGGGCCGTTCGTTGGACAGTTCCGGACCATGCGGCGCACAAGTAGTTAAAACAATACAAGACAACTTTTCACACAACCTTTCACACAACAAGTTAAAACAATCATCTGTACAAGTAAACAATACAAGACAATTAGAAAAGAACAGGCATCTTTGGAGTGGAGACAATCACACTTCGTATGACTAAAAGAACACTTAACACTTCTCAGACACTAACACTATAAGAGACTCATCATTCCCAGTCGTGTAACAATCGAAGATTTTCAGCCCAATGGAGATGATCCCGTGCAACAAAAGTAACGTACAGGACAATATAGATACACCACAGACTGGCATGAGAACCAGACATTGGATGGATGACAAAACAACACGCAGGACTTCTCACCTTGTTATCTTTGAATCCCCAACGCCCCATGGAAGATTTTGCGACCGAATATGATAGAAACAGAGCGGCCGCAGAAGTGGACGAATCTGTGCTGACCCCGCAATCCCCGCGAACCCCGCGGACCCCGCGGACCCCCGGACCCCGCGAACCCCGCGAACCCCCCGAACCCCGCGGACCCCGCGACCCCCGGACCCCGCGAACCCCGCGAACCCTGCGGACCCCGCGGACCCCGCACACCCCGCGAACCCCGCGCACCCCGCGGACCCCGCGAACCCCGCGAACCCTGTGGACCCGCGGACCCCGCAAACCCCGCGAACCCCGCGAACCCCGCGGACCCCGCGAACCCCGCGAACCCCGCGGACCCCGCGAACCCCGCGGACCCGCGAACCCCGCGAACCCCGCGAACCCCGCGGACCCCGCGGACCCCGCAAACTCCGGGACGCTGTAAAACAATGCGGACACCCAGTAAGCAAGGACCAGCGAAAATAGCCCAGCTACCAGGCCATACCATCACAACATCCCGCACACCACATAGACCACAACAGTCCAAGCCCCCCCGTTGGCCCCCCCCGCCCTGGATCAAATCCCCCCTGCGCCGGTTCACGCCGTCATGGACTTTTACCAGGGTTGCTTGTGATTGCCTGCTACCTTTCGTTCACCCCCTCCTCTCTCACAAGTTGAACTGTGCAACGTCAGGCTTCAAAGTCCAGTCATGCACCCTGTGTGAAATGTTCAACTGCGAACTTCTAAGTAGCTGTCCCTGGTGCTCATAATTGCTTATACTGTACAGGTTAGATGGCCGTCAGATTCTTTCTGAAAGGATTCTCCTGAGACCTGGCAGCTTGACGATGCTTAATGTAGAATCTTAGATTCAGGATCTTCTAAAACCTCTTCAATACTATTGTTGGGGGTTTCACAAAATACAATCCGGAATCCGATACAATCAATATATTGTGACTATTATGATATAGGTCTATTATATATTGTATATATATTCACCTATATATACATAGTATATATGTTATGAATTTATATATATATATTTCTTTTTTGGGTCGAGAATGCCCTCGACCGTAGACTCCTTCTCTTTTTCCGTTGCCGGTCCGAGGTCCCGAGCCCGTGCCCCTGGCACACGACGGCAGCCGCGGCTCGATGCATGCCGTGCGCGGCTCGATGCCGCCGCTCGATCGGACCACGGCCCGGAAAGGTCGCTACACTCGTTGGTCGGACCTTCCCCATGATGTTTTTGTTTTTGTTCAGGACCAGGCGGACCTGCAAATTCCGGAACTCGTCGGCGACTGGGGAATTGCCGGTCTCCCTATTCCAGCACATCCACATGGAGCCTTCTATTGGCCCCGTTGCAACAGTGTGACACTTGGCGTTTGACCGGCCACTGCTTCAGATGTCCAACCACATCGTTCTTCGTGAGTGGGGCGAGGTACTGCCGACCGAGCTGCGCACCACCGTGGGGGGGCACATGCAGGTGGAGAAGGGTTCAGCCTGGCCGGTTGCTGCTTTCTCACTCCTTCTTTGGGTCCTTTCGCGCTGTGTTTTTTCCAAAACCAAAGTGTAGTGGCATAGCGGCATAATATACTACTTATTAGTAGTGGCAAAAGTTCAATGGATCCACTCCTCAAGTAGGGCTGATTCTCTCCAGAGGCCGAAGGAAAGGATATGAATGCATATGAATGTGCATTGTAATACGGATACCTCCAAACCAATGTGTTTTCGTCTCCCTAGGGCTCCAAGTACCTCCCGCCTCCTGAGAAGGTATTTGGACATATTTGGACCCTTTAAACCCACCCCAAACACCTTCTTAGAAGGTAATTGGAGCCCTAGGGTCTATTTTCCTTCTTCCAGAAGGTCTTTGAGAGGTCTTCCCATATTAACACCCACCCACCCACACAGTTAGTCAAAGGTTCATCCAGTATCAGAATCCACAGTGAAATGAAGGAACGGTAAGGCGGCAGCGTCAGCAAAGCCGAATTGTTGGAAAATGTGTTGAAAAAACATCGCTCTGCGGCGGCAAGCTGCGGTGACAAGCGCATCAGCGGTGGAAAAAGGAGGTTTAGGGGTCTATCATGCAAGGACCATGTAATCAAACCACAGCGATGGAGATTGGAGTGTTGGCAAAACTGCAGGTACGTGAGTCAAGCGTCCTCGACTCATATCACAGGACAAATATAGTGTCTTCGCTGGATGCCGACCATGGAAATCCCCCGCATCCCCTGCTTATGGGAAGAGGTGGACAGTGAGTAAACCTCCTGGAGACGGAGGGGGACACACACAGACACACACACACACACTCACACGCATATATAAGAATATACCTATATAATATTGACCATTATAGACCAAAGGAATGTTTCGATGTACAGTTGTGCGAACCTAAAGGAAAGCCTTTGCTATTCGACACTCCAGGCATCCTGGTTGCTGTCCGTCGACAGACAAAGAATGCAGGACTATGGGGGGATCGCGGAGCTCTCCAGCTGGGATAGTTGCAGAAGATCGCATGTGGGATTTGAAGCGACTTGCTTGTTGTTTCTTTAGAAATTCGCATCATATACTGTATTATATAATCATATATAACCTAAGAGAAGGTTTTTGAACATATTTGGACCCTCTAAACCCACCCCAAACACCTTCTTAGAAGGTACTTGGAGCCCTAGGGATATATACACTAGTTGTTTGATCTACTCAGATCCGCGGACTCGGCGACGTCCAAGGACTTTGCTGACAATGCATGGAATAGAGCCTTGCTGATGACCTTGCCAAGGCAGCAGGCTCAGAAACCTGTTGCCGGCAGAAACTCCACCACCTCCTTGGACACAACAGGTGGTGAGAGAAACACATGCGAGATGCTGCCCACTGTCAGCCTTCTTTTGGAGTGTCGCACTGCGATTTCACAGACATGTTCGGTCAAGTCCAGCTTGCCCAGCCAGCCGAAGCCGAGGCTTCTACAAATTCACCTGCGATGGGTCGCGCACGTTAGACCGGCGAATTTGGCGAAGGCACAGGGGTCGTTCTTGCCGCAAACGTTCTCCAAGCCTTTTGTGATCTTTTGTGTGGTCGACCGATGTATCAACAACGATTACCATCCTGAGAAAAAACACTCATGGTTTCTTCCACATCGGTCCTATTGAAGGTCTGCTGAGTTGCGGGGTAGTGGCAACATGTGGCAACTATCCAGGCTGATTGAACATGATTACACTGTCAGACCAACAGGACACTCAAACAACGTACATATACAGTATACAACAGTCCTTCGACTATATGTGCTACAGAGAGATGTCTGAGTCAGTCGTTCTTTGTTTTACACTAATTGGGCTCTGCATGGCTGTCGTGCATTTTAAGATCAGCTTGGTCAGCTGTGAGACCTTTTTGACAACCTGTGAGAACTCACAGCGGCTACACCCCCATGATCAAGTGATCAAGGTATTGTTATGTTTGTTGGCTTCAAGACCTCGAACATGCATTTACATACCACAACTGGAGAAAGACAAAGATAACATGCTCGCTTTTCCGCTTTGCCCATATTTGCACACCCACACGTCACATTTGTCAGAACATATGAGAACCAACAAAGAGCACTTCTGCAGAAGCCTGCCCGAAATGGCCTGCAATGATGCCACGTCCTTTGATGGTTGCTTTGCGACTTATACCTGTCAGCTGGTGGCGTTTGCTGCGACCTTTGCTTCAGCGGAGGTGAGGGTGGGAAACAATGGCTGGATTCACGGACACCGTGTAGCTAAAAACTTTACAGGTGGCTGGAATTTCCTAGTTCCAAGTACTACCAGCAACGTGGTCAGGTAGTAGATCCTGAAGGGTTTGTTGAACACGACACTGTCGAGGCGTGTCAAGGATCTGATCAAACATGATCAAACCATTACCCTAGCCTTCCAAGACCATTAAAAAACAAGTTGAACTGGTTTTTGTGGTGTTTTAAATTCTTAGCTGGTTCGGTAAAGCCTATTACAGTAATGGTTGGAAGTCTAGGGGTTATATATATATATAAGTTAAATGATCTTAATTCTAAAAACGGGACACAGCTATGTGACCTTTTACCAGCCAAGCCCCTGGAGGGAAGGCCCTTCCCTCCCGGCGATAGGTGGCTCCTGCTCTCATTGGCCCTGGTACTGGCCTGGCGCCACTTCCAGCGGCCGCACCTGCGCTCGGCCCTTCTGGCTGGAGAAGCGCTGGTGGCCGAGAAGCGGAAGAAGAGCAGCAAAGAGGCGGCCAAGAAGGAGATGAGAATTGACCATGAATCGGACTATAGTCTACACCACTTCCTTCGGACCTCTCTCAGGGCTCCAATTAACCCTTCTTGTAGACCGGAACGCTGGAGTGTCTTTAGAGTATACCATAGTATACCCTTTGTGGGGCCATCTAGGTTGTGAAGTGGGGCGGTGTGGGACCTATCGGCCAAATTCTGGAAGCCTGACCTATCGGCCCCTTTGGTCAAGGAGAATGGTCGGACACCAAAGGATTATATTTCAGTTGGAGGGAGGGAAAAGGTAATGGACAATTTGATTGGTCTTCGGAACAGGGTCTTTCCAGTGGCCATGGCATCCACTTCGGATGTTGGAGGAAGGGTAGGTCTTGATTGATTTGACAATTTGACAACCCTCGCGTCTCTTTGTTGATGTGTGTGTGTGTGTAAACATGTGCAAACTATGTTATTATTATATATATATATACGTGTGTGTATATGTGCATTTGCCCACATTAGCTTCAGGAGCTGAGTGTTGCAGAGCGCAGCGCCCAAGAGCTTACAGAGGCCGTGCAGTGTGGCTTTGCAGCTGCGAGAGGTTCAGGAGAGGAGAGCAAGGAGATTTCAGTGAGGCTGCAAAGTGGGAAGGACTGCACACCTGCAAAGCCGCTAGTGCTCGTGAGTCGGTCGTAAGAGCTGTGAGCTCATCCAGGGATCCACTGTCCTGCTGGTCCTACTGTTGACGGAAGAAAGCACACACCACTTTTGTGGGGAGGATTTATATATATATATATATACCTCAAACCCTCTAACACCCTCTCTTTCGCATGGCTTTTCCAGCATCCAAACAGAAAACCACAACTTGGTGACGACGGTGTCCGTCCGATCTGTAATTACCGGTCGAAGCTGATCGTCATCGGCGACCACACGGGCAAGCCCAGGTTTTTCCTGATTCTCTAGACTTGACTGTAGGTGCACTTTTCCATCATCCGCCATCCATGGTTATGGTTGCTTTTCAGGGTGACAAGGTGGTGCAGAGATATCCGTTGTTGTTTCCACCACTTCCACCCAGACTCCTGTTTTTGTGTTCACATTGATTCAATGTGTGGGCCGGGAGATGTTTTGCATTGAAGAATGAGGTTACGTTTTGTCCCATGGCATTTGGAATGACTGTGTGCAACCTTTATGCAAAGTGTTTGATCAGCAATACTTTTTTTTTGAGGCAAGGTTTTGCGAGAATGCGGACAAAAAAATATCAAACATGTTGTTTTTGTTGAAGGTTAATATATAGGTTGCAGTGCTTGGCCATTTCATGCAACAGAGGGTAGATCAACACGTCTTGTTGGAAGGCATCTGAAAGCCATCCCATTTGGGTGCACTCAAAGCGGTACTGAAAGCTGCGCATCCAGATGTGCAGCTTTGTTTGGCTCGTGCAGTTCTTTTCTACCCTGCTGGGTGGTGGCGAAGTTGTTTTCTCCATGTCGGAATGGTTCCCCGAATTTACCAAATTCTTTTGGGGGGACTAAATGACCAACCAGCCTCTTCCAGGAGTGTCAGTTTCTATGCTTGGCACCCGGAAAGTTCAAGGAGCTTCGAAGCTTGTGGGGTTTGACAGAGGAGCTTTATTGGACCTGTTTATCAGAGGACTTGCGTGGAGGCAGTCCCGAGTCGAGTGGGAAAAGTGGGAGCCTGTTCTGGGTCTCGCAGGATCGTTTGTTGGTTCTGAAGACCCTGGAGCGACTGGAGATGAAAACCCTCTTGCAGTGCTTGCCACGGTATGAGCAGCATTTCAGCACCTACAAGCACTCCCTTTTGTGCCGGTTCTTTGGTGCTTATGAGGCGCAAGTGGGACGCCGGCGAGTGCCACTGGTGGTGATGAACAATGCCTTTCCGTGTTTGTTACAGCCGGATGTGGTCTATGATCTCAAGGGCACCACCGAGGACCGATGGGTGAGCCCCCGCCCTGGCGTCGTTTTGAAGGACCTGAATTTTGCAGATAAGATCATTGGCATCCCGGATGTGAACAAGAAAGCAGCCTTGCTGCATGCCTTCAAGAAGGATTCCCAATTTCTCAGGAGCCTGCGCGTGATGGACTACTCAGTTTGTCTTGGGGTGCACTATTGCGAGGGCAGTTATCCGGATGTGGACTACATCACGGCAGAGCCTGGCATCTCTTCCAGTTTAGCTGTGCTCAAGGGCTATGAACCCAAGTACCAATGCACCCTTTTGCGGACGGAGGCGGCTCAGAAAGTGATCTATTTCATCAGCATCATCGATATCCTCCAACAGTACACTCTTCGAAAAGTGATCGCACACACCTTCAAATCCTTGAGTTTGGGTTGGCTGCACGAAATTGACACCGCGCCACCCCACTACTATGCCCGACGCTTCAAGACCTCCTTCACCGGGAAAGTGCAGTGCTTCCGTGAGCCCGAAGACCGTGTGGCGCGCTTCTCACGTCGCCTTCGTCTAGCCATTGAGGCTGGGACCATTGCTTGCCCAACCTTCATCAATCCGATGAACACGGATTCGTGGGACGCGTCTTGTCAGGTAAGAAACCGTGAAAAGTCATCAGGTGTAGCACACAACACACGGCATCATTGCTTTTATATGTCCTCAAATCATTCCTCAAAGCCTTCCGTTTCAGGACCTTGTGGCTTTTGGCGGTTGCAAATTTGTCCCGACCCATTCAGCACTTGATATGTTCAAATTGTGCCACAGTGGCTTTCTCAAAACAAAACTGAGATCTCTTCGTAGTTGCTTCAACCCACCATGGACATCGACGTCACATTCCACATCACCCAGATGTGACATTTTCCACCTGTTGAAAACCACCCATGTGGCTCTCCGGTGGGCCCCGGAGGCGCGCCCACCGAGGTGACCTTGGATGAAGCCGTGGACTTTGCCGTCCGATGTGGTGGCCAATTGATGGTGGCTCGACAAGGCCTCTTGCGGAGCCGGATGGAAGAGGTCGAAGCCTTCCTCGATATGGATCGACACTTGAGTGTTTCAAAAGCGTTCAGAACTGTGCCAGCTTCATCCATGGGACTTCGTTTTGAGTCATTAAAAAGGCGCCTGGTGGTTGCCTGAAAGGTCAGTTTGAACAACTTGTTTGGTGGACCCAAACAGACAACGACAGAACTCACCCAAGCCCCGACCAGTCACAGTCACATCAAGTTCTTCCCCTAGAATTCATGTGGTCCAGCTTCTCCCAAGAGAGAGCCTCAGCCTTTCCTGCGTGCTCAGGACATGCCTTGATTTTCCAAGAGATGGCCCGAAGCCCCTTTGGGGGGGGCCGACGGCCCACCTCCGCCGTCGCTTGCTACAAGATCCGCCGCGTGTACCTCACCATCGTTTGCCATCGGCCACGGGACCTGTACTGCATTGGGTGCCGTTCACACATGAGGCTCGGAGCACAGCAACCGGTCAAAGACTTGGTTTTGCACCCCTAAATATGAAATGAGAACTTGTTAGTGATTGGTTCATGGAGTCCTTGGAGCATTTGCGGCCCCTTTTCCACCAACCACGGAAATCTACAGGATGGCATTGCATGGGCCCTTTGGCAACTTCTATGATTGTTGGATGGAGGGTGTGAAAACAGATGCAGAATCTATATGTTAGTTTGAAAGAAATTGAATATGTAATCGTCGCAAGAACTAGTCATCATCGATTGTAGCACCCTCAGGCAGTGCAATCCACGGTCCCAAAGACCAAAAAAGTAGATCCATAGATAGATTCACACAACAACTTGGATAGTTTGGCTTGCAAACTTGTGAAGTCTTACAGTACGAAGTGGTCTTCTTGAAGTCAACTACCCCCCCAAAAGACGCACAACCACCTCAACGCCCAAAACCAAACACACCATGTCACACCACAGAGACACCATACAGCACCCACCACCTGTTTGAGTTGTTTCCCTTTGTTTCACACACCGTTTGCAACCAGCCGTTCAATGGCCGGCCGTTCGTGGCCGTTACCGGTCGCCCCGAGGAAAGTGGAGGCCGAGCCCCAGGAGTCTCGTCGCTTCACCGTGGAGGCCGACGACGCGGAGCCCCTGCGCTTCGTGGCGCCGTCGCGGCGGCAGGCGGAGCTTTGGGCCACGGCCTTGGAGGCTCCGGGGCACGAGGGCGAGGCGGGTGAGCGGGGTGACCGGTGGGGCGACCGGTCCGCTGTCCGGCAGCTTGGGTGAAAAGCTTGGAGAAATTTACATGACGTTTACATCACAGAAAAAAAGACCAAGACTAACTGAGTAAAACAAACGTATACAGAAATTACTATAAAGAATATATAACAATATATTAATATATATATACTTTAAATGTTGTGGTGTTTTGCTTTCCGATGCTTGCGGCGTTCTACGTGACTGCGTGCGAAATCGGGGGGGGCATGGTTCTGGCGCCTAACTCGCCACCACCAGCATGCAAGCCCTTTAGAACAACCTCAGTCCCACGAGCTGGCAGCGAGCTGCCAGCTTCGCCCGCTTCGCCTGCCGGTTTCGATGAGCCATCACACGACCAGTTGTGCTTCTGGCTGACGAAGTCAACAGCAAGACACAGCAAATTCCCTTCAAGAAACGTAGAACTTATTAGATCTTACTAGAACTTATTATACATTCAGTGGCATTGGAGACCAGCTTCGTTCACCTTCCCTCATGGATTGATTCCCCACAAAAAAAGACATATAGCTTGACTGGCTTGACTGATGTAGCTGATGAATTCATGACACCCCTACCTGGATGCTAAAACATCTCCGTTTTTGGGGCGAGGTTTTGATTCATCCACCGTGTCAACACGGTCGCTTCTAGCTGTGCCTCAGGTGGCGGCCGGCTACGTCGAAGCGAATGTCGAAGACACCTCCGGACCCGCGAACGTCGGAGCTCCCGACGGACCGAACAGCAGTGGGGCCATCCGCTCCGCCGAACGGGCGGCCATTTTGGGGTCTTTGGACGAGTGGGTGCCGATCCAGGCAGATGGTGGACCGTCCAATAATGAGGGAGAAGGATATGGAAGGATGGATGATGATAAGCCTACAATGTTTCAAGTGTTTGTGTGAAACAAGGGGCTGTCCGGTACACTTCATACACGCCAACATATTGGCTTAATGTGATGCCAGGCGGTGCTGGCCGTGGCGCGACCCGCCTCTCAAGGCTTGCTGGAGCCCTATTTGTTGGGCCCAGAGGCAGAGAGACGTTGGCAGAAACGGCGCCTCAAGTGGATCTTCGGCTTTATCGACACGGATGGCACGGGCGCGCTGCCGGTGCAGAAGATCAACTTACTGTGGCATGAACTGAAGCTCGGAATCCACCAACTGGCACGCGGCAAACGCGTGTTTGTGATTTGTGTGACAAATTTGGGATCTTTGGCAAGACATCCCCGAACAATGCCAAGGATAATTACATAGGATACTTCACGCAGAGCAAAAAGAACATGACCTCTGACCACAAGAAAATACGTCATTCTTAAGCAACCTTGTGAGCCAAGCGAAGTCCTGTTTGCCTTTGATTCCCTTCCCTGCATAAGCGGCCGGGGGCACTGTTAATCACGAGTCGGCATTCACATAACTGCTTTGGTGGCTCGGCATGTAGGTATAATAATGCACAAGATTGCACAAGTATCAATTGTTTATTGGAACTTCTCACCGAGTACGGTATTACCACCTGAGCCAAATCGAACGAATCGAAGACCCCCTTAATTACGAGTTCTTTATATCAATACGTTGCGTAAACTGCTTGATTCATCCTGAAACGCAAAATGTTGCACAAGGCACGATCGGATCATTCAGGAAGCCTCTCAAAACGGCATGCCGCCCCACGACGTGTGGACGGACGGACATGTTGGGACCTGAACTCGCTTAGGAACATCAACTCCTCTGAAGGTCAACAGGTGTTGTCCGCCGTCCTTCGGCAAGAGAAGCAAGGGCGACGTGCTGGGGGCGGTCGGCAGATTGGAGGCGAAGCCGAAGCCGGTGAAGCAGCGGCGTTGTGGTCGGGTATGTTGGGAGGAGACGAAGCAAAGGCAGAACGCCATTGGTTCCCAACGGGCCTATGGAGTGGCCCAAGGTTTGCCCATTGCTTTCTGGCAAACATCACTTGATCTTACTCATTGTGCTTGTGTTAAGTCGTTTGGATGCGGTGTTTCCACGCGGGTGAGACGCAAGATGCACGACAAGCTTCTGAGTATCAGTTCAACAATATATGAGGATCATGAGGCATGCTCAAAATCATTACACAGGCGGCTTCTTTTGGATGGTGCCCATTGAATCCCGTTGATTTTGTGGATGTGCTCAAAACCCAGTAGAACGATGAGGACTCACAAAAAACAATAATCTGTTTGTGGAATTGTAGCCGTGTGTGAGCGTGTGTAGAAAAAGAAAGATGCAGAAAGACAACCAGGATAACCTAGAATGTCCCGGGAATGCCTCGGGAAACGACTCCCCCACTTTTTGGCCCGGAGTGGTTGTCCAAGATTTTTTTTCAATGGCATCCTAGGACCCTAGGAACAAGTTGCAAACACTGCAACACATTGTAAAACGATATGGGGGCCATAGGGGTCCCACGTTCGCTAGGCGAGAAGAGGCCACGTAAATAGTGTTGACCGTGTGTCATATATTAAAATTAAATAAAACTTAGTGCAGAACATTATATATAGGTCAAAAAGATATCATATGCTGGATTCCATCGATAACAATAGGATGCAAGATAGGGCTATGTGGAGAATCAAGAACAGAACCAGATCTTCGGTTTTTGTGTGATTCCTCGCGTTCTTTTTACTGGGAACTGGGTAGGTGGGTACCTGCCTGAGATGAAGCGCGCGAGTGCCGCACCAGTGTAGCCATGTTTCCTCCCAAAACGTTTTGTCAGGATGTGATCCTCATTGCCTTACGTAATCCTCATAGTTCTCGTTGGGCTTCGGTCCACCAAAAGCTACAAACTTCAACATTAACCTGTGTTTTGTGCGCTTGCCGTGCAGTTCTTTATCAGTTTTTGAGGAAATTCAAGGCGTCCTGGTGACTTTCCACAAGCCCAGGTGGCTTAACACATGCGCTCGTAGACGTTTTTCCTTTGAAACGCCCCATGTTTTGTGGGTGTTGCTCCAAACACGCCTGGGCGCGCTCCCAGCAGGTGGACGCTTGGTGAACCTGATGGATTGGGCCAAGATGTTGACCTTGATTGATCAGAAACACGTGAAGGCGGGGGGGAGCCTTCCGGAGCGAGCCGCGGAGGAGGCCGGAGTCATGGGTGGAATTACTGCGCAGACTGTGATGTAGGAAATAGCTCACAGTCTGAGTCAAAGCATTTTGGCAACCATATTTTTGAAGTGGCTTCATGATGGTTGCTGGAGCTGCTAGTTAGCTACCTGGATTCCTGGTCGGGTTCGAAGGGGGCCGTGTGCGCTTGCAGGATGACAGCGACCGCTTCAGACTTGCTCATTTTTGGCCATCATCCAACAATCACCTCAACCTAGAACCATTTGCTGATTGCGTAGTTGTGGAATAGGTTGCGTAATTCATTACCCCACATTCGTCAACGACAAGTATACGTAGGACGTCCGTCTTGTGCTTGACTTCCTTGCATCCAAACCTTCCTCAATTGGCCGGTCTTCCACGCGCCCATGCCGGGTCACCGCCAGGCGGTCTACCGTGCGCTGCGCGACGACTTGTACGGCCACCAACGGAGTTGCTCCGTGCTGACCTGTGAGGATGAGGCCCACGTCGGAAGAAGGTGGAAGAAGGCGGAAGAATCCAAAGGGGATATGGATTGGCAAAGGCTATAGGATTCCACGGGATTGACCAAACCAACCAGGCAGGATTCAATGGGTTCTACCAAACAATTGGGGATTTTGGGACAACAACACCAGGTCAACCCTTCATTGAATGGTCGAACTGAAGACGATCTTTTGCTCGCCTCGGGTTTGAAAGGTGCATAGCGTCGGGTCGGGCAGGTGGCCTCACGATGTCCTTGGGTGGAAAAAGGCGTCTCGCGTTTTCTCGTGGCGGAGTCTTTTGCACCGCGCAGTGAAAATCGGAGGACTTGGCCTTGCGCAGCAACTTCGGACACGATGTGCAGATCGCAGTCGAGAACCTCGCACAGCCGATTTGACGCAATGCCGAAGGTCCCGTTCAATTCGGATCAAACGTGTGAAGAACGGGCATCAAGGTGGCCCAAGTGTGAGGTAATCAATGCCCCGGCTGGGTAATTCCACCTGGAGCTCCGCTTTGAAAAGGGACACAGGATTTTGGTGAGAATTTAGTAGCTATAGGGAGTAACTGAGTGGCCTTTCAACTTTTCCCAAGACATTCTCCAGAACAGGCTTTCTGGAAGATTGACCAATCTCAGCGATCGAAACTAAGGTTCTTCACGAATGTCCAGGGTGTGTGGCCGCCCCCATCAGTGCAGCAGGTGCAACGAATGCTCTCTCGCATACCTTTTTCGAAGGAAAGGAGCTTGTCCACAGAGGCCCTCGCCCAACTGCTATGCTCTCCTGGGAATGCACTGGCAGACCCGGCGAAGAGGTCCTTGTTCCAGGAGAAGCCCACACCTTGCATGTGATGATATGATCATTGATTTTACTGTGTGTGTATATCTGTATATATATAACATAATTTGTTGTTATAATTGTATATATAGTGGTTCAGTATCAGCGAGATTCCCTTCGCTCTCCTTCTATGCAGCATGGAAGTCCAGGATATGACACAACCCTTGTGTGCCTACTTTGTCGACACCTCTCACAACACCTATTTGGAGGGCAATCAGCTGAGCAGCCGCTCTTCCGTGTTGCGCTACGTGGAAGTGCTTCGTGCAGGTTGTCGCTCCGTCGAGGTGGACGTATGGGACGGGAAGAATGGGGAGCCAATGGTGAAGCACGGCTACACCGTGACCACCGAAGTCTTGTTTCAGGACACCTCACGACGGACGACGGACGAGTGACGGACAGTGACGGGTCTGGTGGAGAATGGAGCGGTTCACATAAGGAAGCTTGGTGAAGCCGGCATCCGGTATCCGGTAGTTGCTTGAGAATGGGGCTGGTTGCTAGTTCACCCTAAGCCGCTAAGCCTTGGTGGTCAAAGAGCGAGACTTTGTCTCTTGTTGATTCACTTTGGCCTAAGTGTTCCACATGATTCACCCATTTTCGCGCGAGCCAGTTTGGAAGATGCGGACATTACGAGGAGGTGAATGCCCAAGGTAGAGAATGAACTATAGGCTTTTCACTTGCGGCTTCCTGGTTTATCTTGGCCCTCATTGCCTCAGATCCATTCATTCGCACGCTCCGGCCGCCTGCAACTCCACGCCGCTTTTGAAAGCGGAGGACGTGGTCCAAGCCATCGCAGATCATGCGTTCGTGGCCTCGGAGTATCCGCTGGTGATCTCCATTGAACAGCACTGTTGTGCCTTGCAGCGCGTCCGGCAGGGGCAGATCATGGAGGAGTTGCTGGGTGAGCAGCTGCTGCGACCCCCGTGGGATGAACAGAGGTGAGACCGATGGGGACCACACAGAAATGAGAAGAGTTGCCGTTGGAATCAACATTGTTGAGTAGCTTTCCAGAGTTGCCTTGGCTTGGGTACGATGAACTCGTGGGTTGCTGTAATCAAGAGATTTGTAAGGTCCTTGTCATGGTAGGATACGGACGTGTTGACTTTGTATTTTTTTACTTGTTTTTGGACTGGGTGTCGACATGTTGTTTACATTTTTTGGCCTGTGTTGTTCTTATATTATTATAGTCATTGGCGCTCCTTTGCATGAACCCAGCACAGGGATATTGACCGTCAATCGATCAACTCACAGCAGAGGTCTTTCAACCTGGGGAAGGGCTTGTAGACTAGTAGACCTTCAGACATTGCAAGCAACCTAATGTTCGAACACCCAAGCACCCCGACACCCCTGCCGGTTTCAAATCAGAACAACATGATGTGTGAAATATGCCGGTCCTCATGCCCACCCACTTGCACTCAAACAAACTGACTTCATGTCGACGTGAGTGTCGACGTGACGATCAAGGGCATGCACATCCACCAAGTCTCCACATCAAACTCATTTCTGCTGACCGAAGAAAAGAAAGCAAGAATGAACCAGCACCACCCACTAGACCATCATTGTAGGCGACTGGCCATATTACTGTAGTTATTTACCATGCAATATCCATCCATTGGGTGCTGGAACAAATACGTTGGGCAACCATCGCCTCACCATAGCCTCACCAGGCAGCGTATTGATCCCTCTGTGCACTTTGACTTGTCTCCCTGGTCTGCTCGCCGGCGCGTTTTGGTGAAGTCGTCCATTGGCTGCTGTGAACGTTGCCGCGGGCCGCTTCCGACCTATGACCGTTGCATTGCATTGCCCACCCGGAAGCTCTTGCAAAAGCTGGTCGATCGTGGCTCAGCGCTGTTTTTCCAGGGCTGGCAGGGGGATGTTTTAGCTTTTGAGGGCCTCAAGCAGGTTTGGATGCGATAATAGCACCGAACTATCACTGAAACGTACTGAAACTAACTCAGTTCGAGATGTTCTTATATGTTCTTATTGTTTATTTTGTTTATAATGTAATAGCTAGTAACGCTAGAAATACAATATATAACAGTTTAAGGATGTTTAAGGGGTTCTCTTAGTTTGTTTCAACATTGTTTGAGTCATTTCTATTCACCTTCACACGTTCGTAACAAGGATCAGGGGATGAACATGGATTTTGCGTGATGAAAGCTTCATTTCCACCACCCACTTCGGGTGGCGGTCAACCCGTGGGGTCCGGGACCCGGACCACTCCAGTCAACCTGACCTCGCAGGTGAGGCGGATCATCCAGGTGCTCATGGCAGTTTGTCCCCTGTGTACGGAGCCTCCGTGTCCCCAGCAGCCTCGGGTGAGCCGAGCTATCCATGGCATGTGGCCTCAGGAACGGCGGCCAAAGTGCAAAAGTTGGAGAAGAGAATCTCATTCCGACAGAGCAAAAACATTTGGGCACCCCTATGTTCTTTTTTTAGTGATTGTTCTTCGGCCACCAACTACCACGGACATCATGTCCCGGGCAACTGTATTATACCATGCTTGTTGTGTGTGTGTTTGTGTGGAAACCATCGTCTTTGGCATTGAGTTTTGTTGGAACTTTCAATGTCCCGCTTTCTGGCAGTGTGGCCCATTTGTTTGACCCTATATACCACCCCCAATCGATGGTGGCTTGGGGGGTGGTGCAAGTGAGGTATTGGACGATCCGCTCTTTGCTCATGGACATCTGCGCACTTGGCACGCGTGTACCCCGAAGGTACGCGCATTGGCTCGGGCAATGTGGACCCCATGTCCATGTGGCTCTCAGGCGTTCAAATGGTGGCCATGAACTACCAGACCAACGACACTGGCCTTCTCTTGAATCAGGGCTTGTTCCGACATTACAATGGCAGTTGCTTCGTTTGAGCCAGGCTGTTGCAACCATAATCTTTCAGACCCGACCTATATATTCCATTGATTCCGGGAGGTTGTTCACAGTTTTGGTACGATTTTATCATGCAGGTGCTTTGTCTAAGTGAGGTTGTGGCTATGTGCTGAAGCCCTCCATCGAGCTTGTGCCAAACCGTGCACCAAAGAGGCTTTGGCTTTGCATTTGCTGCGGCCACCGCTTGCCAAAACCTGATGGGAGCCGAAGCAGCGAGGTGGGGATCACCTTGATGGAGAAAAAGAAATAAACTATATATCATTATATATAGAATCCGCCCTTCCTTAGGGGTTCCAAGAATCTCGTGTGGAATCCTTTGCAGATTTCAGATAGATGGTTGAATTGCCTTTTATATCCTTTTATATGATAGGTTAATTAGTTGATGAATAGGTCTATGACATGTGATACCAAATCGACCCCTCTGATCCCAAAAGGGCATCATTGAATGGTTTGGTTCACCTCATTCTCCGACCAAATCCCGCCCCTTCCTCGCGGCGCGTCATGGCGTGGGCGGTTTGCACATCATGGGCACTCTCCGTGGCTAGGTGAGTTCTCCCCACGTGCTGGTCTCCTTGTTCCCTGGTGGCCAAGTCTCACAGACGCCACAGGTGAACCAGGCGATGTGCCTGTGATTTTGCTGGAGTCGGGCCTGTTGGACCAAGGGCTGTTGCGATATCTCAATTCTTTTAGTAACAGACAGCGTGACACGACAACTGCATTCACAGCAAACGGACTACTACGGTCCCTCCCGCAGGGCGGGAGAAGTATGTGCCATATTTGCCAAATATGATTTTGAGGAAGAGTCAGAGCCACTCACATTCAAGTCAAGACTTGTGCGGTTGCCAAAAAATCCATCGGCTCTCTAACCGTTGAACATTTGATGTCGTTTTCATTTGTTTTCTATCGAGGGATGTCGGCAGACGAGGATTGAGGGACATGGAAGTTGACCTCTGACTTTTGGAAGCTCATCCTCCTTTGACTTTGGGACGACGCTCGGGAGGCAAGCAAAAAAGAAACCGCATCCGGCCCGCCCGCGAGCAGGATGGCTACCATCCAGTCTTCAACCACGAGGTGGGCGGGTTTGACACTTGCGGAGAAATACTTGTTTTCCATTGAAGAACACAGACATAGACATAGACATGTATAAATTGACCATCCTGACCACCTGTGGATTTTCCACATCCAGAAGATTGCGTGACATGGCCAGAAGAGATTTGCTCGTGTGGCCCAGGTTATTCTGGAGATTTCCGAGAGTCCTTTGCACATCCTGACCTTCGAAGTTCCTTGGTTGAAGAGCTTCAAGTTCTCGCAACAAGAACAAACCAGGAGTCACGTCAGACGGGGTGCCAATGATCCACTGAAGGGTGCCAATGATCCACTCACTTTGGTGCCGAGAACTTGAGAACTTGTTATGATTGTGGCGTTGGTGTCAAACTGTGTTACCTCGGTTTTGCTTGGAAACATGAGGTGTTTGACAAAGGGCGTCCCATGGCCAGAAGTGCTCTGAATCTGGATGCTGTCCGTGAAGGCTTTCGCTGGCTCTCGCTTCAAAGCCCCCAGGGCCACAGCATTCCTCGATGCGGGCTGCTGGTGAAGGCTCATTTTCAGAGCGGCAGTCGGGCTGCAAAGAATCAGTCCCACTGCTAGGATCTCTCATCGTCTACCGGGTTCGGTCTCTCCCATTGAAGAGTTCGGGCAAGATCCACTCAAGGCGCAGAGCGTGAGTGGAAGGTGTGTCATCGGCATCAGTGTGGACAGAAAGGCGTTGCTCTTCAGCAATGAATGTCCTTGACCAAGGACGCCAGCTGCGTCATGTAGTCGCTCATGTGACAGCATCGTGCAGTCGCTCGTGCAGCTGAGCCAAGCTTGTGCTTGCGCAAAAGGTGCGTGTCGGTAGTTCCATGGAGTTGTCGGTGCGTGACGCCTTCACTCAAGACGAAGCTTCGCAAAGGCGACTGTTGGGTCTATAAAATGAATCCCAACGACCAGCCTGCACTGAGTTCCACAGAAATGTTTAATAGACTTTGATAAAGTCTTCAAATGTTTTGTTTTGTGGTGAAGCTTTGCAATTCTTGCCGCAGTGGCTGTGACTTGACATGACTTAACCAAGAATATTTCGCAGCCGGCAGGTGTTCCTACAGATTATTTGTTGAGCCCCGACCACCTGCCACGTCAGGCTTACGACATCTTGCCAGACATGGACCCTCGGTGTGACTGGGTGTGGTTGTCAGGGTGGCAACGTAGTTCCTTGGGCTTTGCCTCCAAGTAGTAGCGGCCCATGCTGGAATCCTGGGTCACAAAGGAGCAGACACCTTCTGAAGTGTGGGGCACTTCATGATGCACAGCCTGCACAGCGTTCAGGGATGTATTTCATGAGGTTTTCAGCAGCACAAACGTCTCACTGTCTCACGTCGCGCAGGAAGCTTCCAAAGCTGGAGCTTTGACCAGCAAAGTGCTGAACCAGGCTCAGCAGCGTTCACTCGGGCGCTTGGAGGTGAGACCACGCCCCCTTTGGTGGGAAAGACTTGCATGAGGATTGGATTGAATGTGTTTTCATGTGTTTCAATGGGCCATGAGTGACTAGATACTGGGCACAAAAGCTTCATCCTTGGATCAGCCACATCTCAGATCCTTGCCGCTGGTAGTGGAGACAAAGTGCCTGTTCCCAGGATATGACCTGGGACGCCTTGCAATCCTCCATCAAGGACTGAGGGTGGGCTTTCGTGGTGATCCTTCTTTCGCCTGGTCGTTGGGGGTGATGAGTTGGAGCGGTCCAAAGCGATGACCAAGGTATATAGATGAAAGGATTTATATACAGAGTATGTCAGGGGTCAACCAACCCAACATGTTGTACAGGATATGTTCATCCGTTTCGGGTGATGAAACGTTCTACCCCGGAAGAAAAACAAGTCACAGAAAAACCGCGCGGGGAGGTTGGTATTCACCCTGCTCACTTGAAGGTGTGACCCGGGGACAGGAGGTGAAGAAATGCTGTTTTGCCTGGGTACCTTTGGGTTCCATCAATACATCGCCATCGCCCACTGTGATAAGGAGAAAAGCACCAACGCCAGAAGTGTTTGCTTCATGTCCAACGGTGCAAGGAATGGATGGTCCTCCAACGATCCTTGGTTGGAACCGGCCAATGAAGATCCAGGTCGCGTGTAGGGAATGCTCTAAGGTTCTTGAAGAAATGTAATTATACATTAAACCTGTACAACGTACAAAGAGATCAAAAAGAGGAAACCATAGCAAACCCATAGGAAAAACCATGGGAAAACCATTAGCGAACCCCATATTAAAGGAAAACCATAGGAAAACCCGTTCAGAGTTATATAGCTTCGGTCTCCCTGTGATTTCTGAAAAGATCAGGTCCAAACCCACTACCCGGACTCAGTCTGCGCACACGTCCAGACTGAAGCCCTGGTGCCAGCGCTGAAGCCGGATGGTCAGGTGCACTTCCTACGTGCCCAGGCGAGTCCCGTGTGGCTGCCGGGTCGGCGCAGGGGTCGACGTGTGGCTGCCGGGTCCATGACACGGCCGTTTTCGGCCTGGCTTTGAGACGGTGAGAGCAGGATGCCACAGGTCCCTGTGTTCAGAAAGGTCGATTTCAGAATGGGTCCCTGCTTTGAGAGATCCCCATGACTTGTGAAACTCTTGTGGTTTGTGCCTCACTGCGATTTCTGATTATTGTGTGCCAACCAACAAATGGCTGGTGACCTGGTGTACGCTTGAGTCGGCTTGAGCAACCAATTGCAGATTCTTTTCTGACCTTGAGATCTTCAGTTCTTCAGCTCCGTATGTCACCTCTCGTGAGTAATTATTTTGCATGCATAGTTTAATCAATTCATTCTGGCCTGTGCCCGTTAGGACACCCGAGTGTCTTCTGTCAGTTTTAGCAGTTTTGCTCAACGTCTGCCTTCAGCCCCTCCAGCTCATTCCAGGTCCACTGTTTTCAGACGCATAGGTAGAGACGAGAAGGTTCAGAAAACATTGGTCAGCGACAAACTGGCTAGCGACTAGAGATGTACTTACTCCTATACAGCAGTTGGTATTGGTGATGAATTGTCTGAAGCTACCATTCCAGTTGCTATTGGCATAGGCATGGAACATGCTCCCTTGGCAGGTTCGTTGGCACTTTTGTATAGATATGCTGAAGACAGGTTCCTTTTGAAGCCCACGTTTGTTCCCAGTTCTCGTCTTCGTGCTTTTCGGCCATTGCAGGATGTCGTGTGGAGAGCTCAGTGGGAATGCATGCCCGTGTTTCGACCCTTATGAATGCATGCCAGTACTTCCAAATCTTTTCTTTCTGAGGTTAAGCAGAAACCGGTGTTTTCCAGAAGACGTCATAACAATTATGTAATTGTAATTAGGTGTTCAGTTTTTGGTTCCAATAATCTGTACGCACTTCACTTTCCCGTCACAGCAAGCCTTGTCAGGAAGAAGTACCTCGTTTTTTGGGGAGCTCGCTCAATAAAGTAGGTCAGATATCAATCATTCAAGCATGGTCAGCGTAGTATTTCAGCATGGTTCATAAACTGCCCTCAGGATGGGCCCATTCAATCCCACCAACAGGCAGGCTAGCAGGAACACTTAGAAGCTCAGCCACTAATAGCGGTGCTGGGTCCTACTCAAATTCTGCTGCATAATATGCTTGATGGACGTGGTTTACGATCCACTTTTCAAAACTGGCAGCTTCCCTGCTTGAATGATTGACAGTTGTTGCCGCGTTGCCGCTTCCCGTGGAGCCGATGAGGATTCAACTGTTTGAAACCCACCCTGAACATCCCTGAAGGAGAATTGGCATATTGATGAGCATATGAATCATGACCCTTGTCCTTCTACCAGGGACCAGTGCATGGCAACGCTACGAGGGTACCCCACATTCTGGTTAAGCATCAACTTCAAAAAGCACATGTTGTAGTTGGTCAAAGGGTCCTTGAAAGGACATTGCTCACTGAGAGCTTTCTATGTTGTTGGCACAAGCTTACACAGAATTCAAGCAATGTGCTTGGCGGAGAGATCCACAAAAGTTGGAATTTGACAACTGTTGACCTCCTGTGGAATACATTGATTGGAATACTGCATTCAGGAGGAGCTTTGATTCCTGACTTTCGATGCAGTCTTTACTTCAGCCTCCCCTCACACTAGTCACCAGTCATTGGTTGTAGCCAAGAAGTTCTGTATGGGCTTTGTGCGGGAACATCCTATCAGGCACTTGCCGAACCCTTTTGTCCCACGTTGGAATGGTTTGCTGTTTGCAGGCCCACAAGTGCCGATCCAGACCAATGTGGTCAGTGAAACAAGGTTAACCATGAACAACAATGTTTATCAACCAATCATGCAGTAGTGCCGCAAGCTTCTTGCATTCATTTATATTTGCATTTTCTCTTAGGCCCATGCTGCAAATTCAAACAGCTCCATTCAGGGCTAGTGTCCTCCGGTCTTCTTTTTCTCAGGTGGGTTCCTCCATCGTTTGTGGAGTTGCTCCCCGCTGACTTCCTCACGCCTGGCAGCACAGAGCAATTATCTCGTGAATCTCTGGATTGCAGATCTTGTTAGTCACCTTTTTGATATTGTAGATCTAAATTCGAGATCTCGTTAGTGATCATTCTTACATGTGCAGGGTTTTTTCCAAGTGTTTCCTGCTCCTGGGAGACTGGCCTGCCCTTTCATCGATGGCCTGCCCTTCCTTTGAGGGTTAGGAATGTGAAAAAAGAAGAAGCAACGAAGGGGTGAGTGGGAGCAGACGTGTTGCTAGGCTCCACAAGTTCAATAGATGACGCTTGTTCAAAATTCCTAGAACCCTTCATGGGAAGATGGGCATCGGCATTCACAACATGTGCAAAAATGCATGGGCCAAGTTGCCATGACCGTTTGGCGGCCATGTCATCCTTTCTTATAGGTTAGTAGATAGTGTTTATGATCCTTGAAGTTTTGGAGCTGGGAGCTGTGCCCACACCGTGCGGTCATCAGTTGCCGGTGCGCCGAGGACTTGGTTGGGCAGTGCGCCCATCGCCGCGACCCACATCGGCAGTGCAGTCTGGCACCCGTTGTGGTTCTCGTTGCGCCTCTTGGCCGGTTTGGCGGTTTGCGAGTGCTAAATCCGATGGTTGTAGGCTGGCAGGGGATAATTGTCCAGTCAAACAGCCGCTTATATAAGAACCTTTTGCATCCTTTTAGTTGTTTAGTGCTTCAATCTTGTTTAATCAGTTTAATCATTGTGCGAGAACCTCCACATGGGCTTTATTGTTTGGATTCAGAATGAAGCTGCTTCAGGGGGGTGATCCTAACCTGAACAAAGCTGACTGTGCCAAACAACATTTAGCCTACTTTCGTCAAGCTCCTTTTAGGATGATTTTGGAGGATTGAAAAACCTTTTGACTTTTAAAACCATCTAAAACCATCGAGGCAGGTTGTGAAATACGGCAGCTGGAGCGAAGAGGTACTGCATGTATAGGTATGAATCACCGCAATGGTCGGAGCCGTTGACTCGGGACAATGCCTTCAAAAGGATGATTTCCCTCCATCAAATGCCCTCGTGCAGGTTTAGTGGAACCCCTCGTGCAGGTTTAGTGGAACCCCCTGTGTTTGGGGAGTTCGTACAAGGTTGGCAGGATGGTGAACATGTTGCTGAAGGATGAAGCAAA